TGAGCTGCAACAGCGGGGTCAGCTGCGCCTTGCTTACGTGGCCTCTGAGGCCAACACTGCTGATATCTTTACCAAAGCTTTTCCGCCTTGTGATCATCAGCGCTTGTGTTCTTTGCTAGGTCTTATGCCTACTTGGCCTCACTTGCTCACTTCTTGACTTTGCTTGTACTGTGATCTATCTATACCTGCACTTGCATACATACTCTTGCTAGGTTGTGATCACTGCCTTGCTTGTTCTTCTTGATGTATAACTCTGCTTGTGAGCTGGCCTTGTGGCCTTGTGCCTGTGCTCAGATTGTGTGGTGACGTCGTGATCCACCTTGGGCTTGCCTTGCTTCTCTTGACTGGTCTTGTGACCTTTTGTTCTCGCCCACTTTGCATATGGGGGTGTGTCGAACTATATATGCTATAGTCTGTTTAGGCTGTAGTGGGGTAGTCAATATGGGGTACAACACTTTAGAGTTTCCTACTTGTACTCCTCATGCTGTTCAATGCAATCATTCCTTCCTCAGATTCTCACAGGGCTGTGCGCAGAGGTACTATAGTGATCGGTGGTCTGTCCGTACTGTCACGTCTGCGGCGGTCAAGTAGCAGCGCTACACTTTGAACGCATGCACGATCGCAAGCATTTTGCGGTCGTGTATCGGGTAATTTCGCTCGGGCGGATGCAGTTTTTGTGATTCGTATGCGATGGGCTGTAGGCCCTTGCCGAAGTCCTGTAGCAGTACGGCTCCAATGGCGATGTCGCTTGCGACTGTAACAACCTCGAAGGGGCGGTGTGGGTCGGCGATGCGCAAGACGGGCGGTGAAGAGAGAACATTCTTCAGGGCAGAGAAGGCAGCATGCTCTTTCTCACCCCACGTAAAAACGGCCCCCTTTCGCAGTAAATCCATCAGCGGGCCATGTCGGGACGAAGCGACGAACATAATTAACGAACCCTAAAAAACTCTGCAGTTCGGTGATGTTCGTCGGGGGACGCCATGCTTTTACCGTATCCAGCTTCTTTGGGTCGACTTCAACTCCAGCCTCCAAAATAACGTGCCCCAAAAATTTTAGTCTGTCCCGAAAAAACTCGCACTTAGAGCCCTTGGTTAGTAACCGATCTTCCTCTAAAACTTTAAATACTGCTTCGAGATCTGCTAAATGCTGCTGCTTGTTGCGACTGTAGACGAGGATGTCGTCGAGGTAAACTATCACGCATTTATCTAAGAGTGGCCTAAACGCCTCGTTCATGGTCATCTGAAATGTTGCGGGCGCGTTGGTCAGCCCGAAAGGCATCACCGTGTACTCAAATGACCCGTACCTAGTCCTAAATGCTGTCTTGGCGCAGTCCGATGGTTCGACCCGAATCTGATGGTAACCCCCCGTAAGTCTATTTTTGAAAACACCCGTGCTGTTCGCAGTTGGTCGATCAGTTTGTCGGCGCGGGGAATGGGGTACCGCGACTTGACTGTTACCCTGTTGAGCGCTCGGTAATCGATGCACATGCAAAACCCTCCGTCTTTTTCCGGTGTGAACAGTATCGGTGCGGCGAACCGTGACGAACTTGGTCGAATAAACTGCTTCTCTAACAAATAATCTAACTGCTTCCTCAGTTCGTCGAGCTCGGGTTGTGTCAGTCTGAACTGGCGCTGTACAGTTGGCTTTGCCCCCGGTTCTAACTTGATCCTATGATCATGCGCCCGCTGAGGTGGCAGCCCTTCCTGTAAGTCGTCTGGAAAAATCCCCGGGTACCGTTTCAACAGTTCTTGTAGTTTGGGCGGTACTACTGCCAACAGTTTCTGAAAATCGCTCGGCTGCTCCGCTTTTCCTACTAATGCTATATCTACTGCGTACACGTCAGCTCCAGCGGCGACAACCCGTTTCATCGTGATGGCATTGACGTGGACCGTTGAAGACTCGGGCGACTGCCAGCGGGGTAGCATGACCCAGTTACCGCTACTTCGCACAGTGCAGCTACCCATCGTCCAGTCGATTCGTGGGTTGTACCGTCGTAGCCAATCACGTCCCAGTAAAACATCATGCCCATCCAATGTCGTCGCGAGCATTTCCTGTGTAAACCCGAAGTTTCCCCCGCAGCGAACTTTTACTCTGTCCACCTTCTCCCGTATGGCCAGCGGCGTGCCGTCAACTAAGTGTGCGTCGATCTCTGGTAAGCAGCGACTAAGTGTCAGTTGTAATTTTCGCGCACTTGCGATATTAACTAAACTGTGGCTTGCTCATCCGTCAATAAAAATCTTCACTGCTGCTCCCTATATTTTCTCGTGGATCAGTGTTGGGCAATCCGTCGTTGTACCCTCCTTATTCATCTGAGCCCGATCGATGGCGTGAATCGGTACTGTGACTCGGTGAGGGTCGGTGCGGTTGGGCAAGCAGGCAGTCTCGTCAGTAGTTGGCCCAACTTCTACTGAGTGCTGGCGTTTCCCTGCCTCTGAGACTCCCTCCCCTGCTCTGTTCTGCGGCGCCTTAGCTCCTCTGGGCATTCGCTCTTGCGATGACCCGGCGTGTTGCAAGCAAAGCACCGCCCCTTAAACGGTGCGGCAGCTGATTTGTTGCAACAGCGTTTACAGTGGTGTGCTCGATCGGTCCCCGAAGACGATGTCCGTAGTAGGACCCCGTTCTCGGTCGGCGTAGAATGTCGATTTTCTCGGCGAGCGCGAGAATCTCGTTGAAGCTTGAGAGTCCGCGCTGTCAGAATCCCAACCACTAGACCATTGGGATAAAAGGGCTTGTTTCAGTAGCGGGTCAGTGCGCCCATAACCCCCCAGGCAAACGCGCCTGTAACCCCCCCTAGGATCGATCGGGGATCTCACAGTGTAGCTCTACTGACACCCCCCCACACTGGGAGGCCCAGGACTAAGCACAGCGGCACCGGCCTACATGTGCATACACCAGGAATCGAACCCGAGACCGCTCTGATACCATGTCAGAATCCCAACCACTAGACCATTGGGATAAAAGGGCTTGTTTCAGTAGCGGGTCAGTGCGCCCATAACCCCCCAGGCAAACGCGCCTGTAACCCCCCCTAGGATCGATCGGGGATCTCACAGTGTAGCTCTACTGACACGCGCAGCATGATTTTGTGCGAGATATCCGGCTTCAGCCCTCCGACGTAACGGTCCACCCGCTCCGCTTCGTGCATGTAGCCGACCTGCTCGCAAAGTGCGAGAAAACTGCTCGTGCAATCTTGAACCGACCCGAGCTGCCGCCAAGTGCGCAATCTCTGACGCGCCGAAATAGAAGCCGCGATCGGCTCGAAGCGCGCCCAAAGCCTTGCGCACCACGCATCCCACGTGCTGTATTGGGCGGTCTCGCACAATGAACTCCAGGTGCCAGCTGGACCCGTGGGCCCTTCCTCTTCCAACGGTGGCTCGTAGGCGCGTGGCGACGTCACGATGACTCGCCACCAGTCCATGGCGGGGCCCCTTAAAAGCGAAACGGCATACCGAATCTTCGCTGCATCCGACTCGACGTAATTCGCGTCGAAGAAGACGTTCATCATGAAAACCCACGATTGAACCGTCGGACCTCCACGTTGGCTCGGGTCGAAACAGGGCGGGCGTTGCGGCTTGAGTGGCATTGGTGCCATGATAGCGTGTTCGCCACTTGTCGTCGCGAACTCCACGTGCCGACGGGCTTCGTGAGGCTCCCGCGGGCTTGGCGCGCCCCTGTTTCCTCCCATGCCAGGCATTGGTTGGGCGGTGCTATCACTGGCTGCGCCGGAGCGCTATCCCACGCTGTCGTATTGTGTTGGTGTCCCGGACGAGATGACGATTGGCTCGTCCGATTGTGCAGGTGCATTTGTTGGTGCGTGTGGTGCTGCTGGAGTGTTCACCGTTGATTGCTGACGTGCGGAGTCACGTTCCGCTGTGAGCATTGCAATTTCGAGCGCCGAATCTTCGAGTTGGCGCACCAGACAGTCGAGCTGCTCCTGCGTCAATGTGGCGAGCGTGAATTTGGCCATGGCGGGGGTGTCGGTCGAGCTCAGCGAGAGCCTCAGTAGTGGCCGTGCGTGCTTACGGGAGAGCACTATGAGCGGCGGTGCTGTGTCGCTGAGAGACGTCTACCCCCCCCCAAAAATTGAGATAGTGGGGAAGCGAAGGTGTGGGTGCGGTCCGAGAAGAGATCGTAGGCTCTGAATACCAAGTGTTACGAGTGCAATTGAGTGAACGAACGAGAATTGCACTATCGAAGCAAGAGTCCAATGAGCGAAGGCATGAGCGAAGAATATATAGCGAAACTACAGTGGTAACGGTAATGGACTGTGGTTGTCGCGCGACGGGCCTGGGACTGAGGTTGGGAAAAGTGTCGAAGCGGAGGCCCGGAGCGCGGGTTACCCGCCGAGCCGTGAGGTCGGGGTGCGACGTGCGAAGGTGGCGGGCGGATTATCGATGCGAGGATTGCGAGTGGTAACGGTGCTGACTGTGGTGCTACAGTGATGTACGCGTTGAGCAGGGACGCGAAGTAAGGAAAAAGAGGTTTTCCTTACAGAAAGCCAAATCGGCGAAGGCACGAAACATATTTATAAGAATTCTCATCAGTACTTATGACTTGTAGTCGAAGTTCTACGGTACTAGGAAGGTACAGACTTGTGACCTTTCTACCACCTTCAGAACGCCTACTTTTGCGTCCTCATCCCTCACACAATCATCTTTGTGGCTGCATTCTACTGGCACATAAATCCGCCAATGACGCATACAAACACAGTGCTTGCCGTGATCACAATATCTGAAGTAAATGATGGCACTGAACTTTCTTGGTGACAGCTGTAAAGGTCCCTCCCACCGGCCAAGCATTTGCACTGCCAACGTTTGTATGATTATATTCATATTTTGGTTCTTGGGACCCTACAACAACTTTGGCAAGCGACCCACACGAGCTGGTGGTCCATAAGCGCCAGTCAATCAGAATCACTAGTACAGTTTGTTAGTATACTGCACCACTACAATGCACGACTGCTAGACTTGGAAACCCAACACCCCAAACCAAATACAGAATGTTCACACCAGGGGCTCCTGCTGCCACTCCCCCCCTGTCCTTAAAGGGCTCTTCCTATTCGCCGCTGTGCTCTCTTTAAACAACACCCGCCTCTCAGAGCCTTGCTTTGAAGCCAACAAGCTTCTGCTTGCACTCCCTCCTGCAATGCCCAAGCCGCCCTGTACTCCCCCTGCTCTCTCCACCCCTTCCACTGCCCCCCCACTTGCCCCGCTATCGCTGAGGCCTCGTGGCATGTCCCTCCTGCTTACCGCTTGCTCCAGAGGCTGCGGGGAGTCCGTGAGGAGGGCACAGAGAGGCGCGGGCTCTGTGTGTGCTCGTCGCATGCTTGGAGCTGTTGACGGCCCCGCGGGATCACCCATTGCGTGGGCAGCGCTTCCCGTGGGGGGCGTGCGGGCGAGGAGGTCGAGCATGAGCGCCTGCATGTCCGCCATCATGCTCCTCAGCTCCTTCACCTCTGCCCGGCTGCACGCCAAATCCTCCTGCTCTCTCTCACACACACACAGGGTGGAGAGGAGGTGAGGTTGGTGTGAGAAAGGGAGGAGGACGACGAAGGGATGCTGTGCACGCATGGCAGGGATTTCAAGCCTGAATGGTTGCATGCGGGCTCTTGCCAATTCTCAGCCATTAGGATCTGATGGCACAAACGCCAAGTGTATCTGCACACGCCCGCTCTCAACTGTGTTCCCAACACACCGATCCCCGCCTTCCTTGCCCACCTTGATGTGCGCCAGGCTGAGCTTCTGAACGGGCTTCTTGACAGGCAGGGCGGCCTGCTTCACCACCTCGCCGCACTGCAGCACCACCGCCTGCGACAGCTGCTCCAGCTGCTCCTCGTCCACACCCTCATTTGCGCTTGCACTTGACCAACATTTGGGCAGCAGCTCAGCCGTGTGGGGCTCACCTCGCTGAAACAGATTGTGAAACAACAGATTGGGAAACAACAGATTGGGAAACAACAGATTGGGAAACAACAGATTGTGAAACAACAGATTGGGAAACAACAGATTGGGAAACAACAGATTGGGAAACAACAGATTGTGAAACAACAGATTGGGAAAAGCAGATTGCTGTGAAAAGTCATGCATAGAAGTCCGCACATCACATTCATTAATTATGTGTGCTGCATTACATGGCGGGCCACAGAGCAACAACACAAGGAACAACATAAGCCATAGCACAACCACATGGCATGCTCAAGTACTCATTCCAACAACCATGGCAGCAAGGGACGCACCTCCCTGTCGTGGCGGCGCTGCAGAATCATGGCGAGCGAGATGGCGTCGATGCGCTTCTCCCTCACTGTCAGCACGTGCTGCCGCCGCACCCGAGACTCGCTGTCAGGCGGGAAGGCGGCGGGTTGGTTGTTCCCCCGACCGGAGTGTGACGGCCTGCAGTCGCCGCCACAGCTGCCGGAGAAGATTTCGCGTGTGTGCCGCTTCAACGACTGCATGCGGCGCATCCGACGATTTGACTGCAACGCACACACGAATTGAAGTAAGGTTACTTGGGAAGGAAATATGGATGGAGACTTGAGAAAGCACTTGGCAAGTACATCCCAATTGGGCTGTCTTGTTGACCCTGAATAAACACCCACGTGGGCTGAGCATCGTAAATTTTGTGACAAGAACTTCATCAAATTCAAACATTAGATGTTCGGCACGGCGCGGCTAACCTTAGCTGAACCGAACCAAACCGATCGAACCAAAACCAAATGCCTTTGGATCAAACATCTTCGAGCAAAACTGATAACGGGTTTCGGTTTTTTTTCATCTCATGCCTACATGGACCATTTGGTGAGAAAATAGCAATCAATCAACCAATTAACCTTGAGCCAACGAGGATGACCTTGCGCCCAGCTCTCACCTCTTCCACTCGGGTGTCCTTAGCTCCCAAATGCACGAGGCGGTCAAGAATGACAGGGTATCGCAAGTAGCGGCCGCGCCAGCAGTTCCACTTGTACTTGATTATGTGTCCCAGGTCAGAGGTTATAGAGGTGGCGACGATGTTGCTGTCCTTGACGCTCATGAAGGCATCGACGATGATGGCGATGAGGAAGTTGAGGAGGATGAAGACCATGAAGAAGAAGAGCATCGCCGCTATGAGGTCCCACGACTCAAGGCGCTGGAAGAAGTAGGCTGAGGAGTTGTCGTTGAGCAGTAGCAGGAAGCACGAGAACATGGACTCCAGCACTGTGGAGAACTGCAACGGGTGGGGTGACGGGAGAGGGGGAGATTGTTGGGGTATCAGACGCAAAAGGAAGGAAGAAAGAAAGGAAGGAAGGAAGGAAGGAAGGAAGGAAGGAAGGAAGGAAGGAAGGAAGGAAGGAAGGAAGGAAGGAAGGAAGGAAGGAAGGAAGGAAGGATAAAAGTGCTGGCTTGGCAATCAGGAAGAGTGCCACGATAAACTTGAACGCTGAGCTTTGCTCAAGCAAAAAGGGTGACACACTTGCTCTATATAGAACGGTGAGAATGAGCGAGACACATACCATTTCAAGAGCGCCTCCAAAGACAAGGTAGCCATACATGCTGAAGCAGAAGAAGACGGCAAAGGAGAGCAGGAAGAAGTGCAGCAGGGAGGGCGTGGCGAGGGCGAGGGAGCGCGTGATGACCCCGAGGTACGGCTGGAAGTCCATGACTTTGAGTAGGCGAATCATCATGAAGAAGAGACTGGGGGGAACAGGGAGACGGCGAAAAATAGAGGAGAACGTGGTCAAGGCACACACACACACGCAAATACACACGAAAAACGAAAATTGACACACACAAGTACACACACACACACACACACACGCATGCACACACACACACACACACACACACACACACATGCATGCACACACCCACGCACACACACACACACACAAGGCGGCTCACTTGATGCCCTTTCAGGGAAGACGGCTCATTTGATCCTCTTGCGGACAAGGCGAGCGCCTCACTCACACATCTTGGCAATGGAAGTCATCAAGTACACTCAGACACCCCACCAGCACTGCGTACGGACTACTGGGCTCAACCGGCTCGTCAAGGACAGGAGCGGAGAGTGTATTGCCAACAGGCAGAGAAGTGGGCTTTGTGGAGGAGAATTGAAGGCCGCAACGCAGAAGGATCTTCTACACTATGTGTGACTGAATCAGCGTGATGGTGCACGCTGCTCTGTCGCTAGTGATCTGAAAGCCAAGATAGCGGTGCAGCTCACCTAGGTCAGTGCAATTGTGTCTTTTCAGCAGCTAGACCTTCATTAAGGTCGTAACAAAGAATAGGTCGTCAACATAAACGAGGATGTAGAACGAAGTCGAGCCATATAGAGCGGAGAGAAAGCAAATTTACCCGAATGGTCGAAACATCGGAGCTAAGGCTTTGGCCGAACCACCTCGGTTTGACCAACCCGCCGATTTAGGTCGGCTTGACCAGGTCCAGTTCAGCCTTGAATTTTGCTCTTTGTTTTGGTAACAGAAGACAATCACTCACTTGACGCCTTGGCTAACGGGCAAGGTGGCTCACTTGATGCCTTGAAGGGCGAAGTAGATGCCACGGAGGTTGATGATGTTGCGCAGCTCAGCGAAGGCCTGAGTGGCGCTGATGAAGCCCGTGGGCGGGTTGGGCACGGCCCAGTAGCGCGGCATCTCGAGCAGCGTGTAGTAGATGTCGTATCGTGGCTGCATGTCAAATGCTTCCACGTACCGCCACAGCACCACCCTGAGCACACCGACACACACACGCACGCGCATGTTGAGAATTTGTGAGTGAATGTGGATGTGATGTGGGGACGGGTGGATGAGCAATGAGGAAGGAGCCGTACATGTGGTGGCAGATGAGATGAAGCACCAACAGATGCATTGCATGGCAAATTCTACCCATCACGCAGCTTGGCTGGTTGCTTACCAGATAACAACCGCAGCCACTTGCAGTGCAAGGGAGAGCATGTCAACCCAGTTCCATGCTTGCCCAAAGTAGCAGTGCGAGGGAGAGCACGTCAACAGCAGCGCGGTCGGCCATCTCCTGCAGCTCGCCACACACATTCCAGAGCAGCCCCACCAGATACACCACCTCCAGCACCAGCCGTGCGATGTTGTCTGCCGATGCATCGTACATCGCCATGGCTGCCGGCTGCGACCTGAAGGTGACTGCCATGCTGCCCCCCGCGTTTAATGTGCACCTCACAGTGGTCAGCACGAACGTGAGCGTCTCGCCTGTCAACGTGGTGTGAAGGTGGTGGACACATGAGACGTAGAGAGAAGCGGACGGGGCAGAGAAGTAGAGGCTGCTAAAGACAGAAACAAAACACATGCATTTGGTACAACTCATAGTGGGATTCCGGGTGCAGCGGCACCTACCGTTGTAAGTTATGAAGCTGACGTCCACAGTGCGAGTGCCATTGTCGATATAGCCGCCATCCACCAGGTAGAGCAGACGACGCATGGCCGCCTCGTAGTCGAGATTGATGTCAAACACCAGCGGGAGGGTTGTGAGTGATGCCTGCAAGAAAATCACAGTGCAAGAGAATCCATCATCAACAAGTGTGACCGAAGACAACTACATAAGATCCTCACAAACAGACTCATCCCTCACTTACTTCACATAGATTAGAGAATCATGCTTTTGTGGTTGCTTCCATATCTCAGTGTAGACATACCCTTGAAGAATGGGTGTTACACACAAAACCCATCCAGCATTGGAAGAGAATGCACTTGGCTCAATCCAGTCCATGTTCCAATGTATTCCAGCTCATCATTCACGCAATTAAAGAGCCATAAATTGCAAAGACCAACAGTGAAAAGCATAATTGCTTGAAACAGCATACGATGGGGTAGATGAAGCCGTAGGGGAGGCCCTGCGGGTTGAACTTGAGTTTGACACCGAAGGTGTTGTTGTCGAGCTGGCTCATGTTGGCGCTGGCAGCGCTGTCGTAGATGGCCGACGTGGGCAGAAAGTGCGGGTTCACTCCAAACGGTTCCAACGAAGTGCCGTTGCTGCACCACCCCGCCAGGTGCAGCAGGCTGGGGAGGGAGGAGAGAGAGGAGGCAGAGTTGGTGGGGTGAAATAAGAGATGGTGCAGTGCAGCTGTGGGAAAGGAGGAGATGAAGAGCAACTAGTGGCTGCACCCACAGAATCAGAATCAGGCGAGCACCACAAAAGCCTGGCAGGTCACACCCCAATGAGAAGAACCACTCACCCCGATCCATTGCACTGCTTTGTGCCCCACCGATCCTGCTGCAGCACCATGCCGATTAGCAGACTGCCACGGAAAATGTGGGAGGGGGGAGGGCGGTTGGCAGAGGGATATGGCAGAGGAGGGCTGGATGTTGATCGTGGTGGTGACTCCAGGTGCTAAGGCTATGATGGGCAAACGGAAGCTGATGGAGCAATATGACACTGCGTGGGTAGTCTGCTGTCCCTCCGGTACCGATGCGAGATGACACGGTTGACAGCGGTGCCTCTCTCAGTGGTGCAAGATGGTGCTGAACAAGTGTGGCGGCTTACAGGTGGGGAGGTGCGGGAGCGTACCGGTTGCGGCGAGAAACGTAGCGCTTGACGGGAAATCCCCTCTCAGCCGCAGAGGCGAAGTTGCTCTCGGTGTAGCTGGGGCCGTAGCGCTGCAGTGAGAAGGGGAAGTTGAGATTGGCTCCCACCGCCGTGGACAGACAGCACGCTGGGGAAGGGGTGGAGAGAAGGGGGAGGAGGAGGAAAGGGAGGGGTATGAGGAAGGGAGAGCAGGGATGGTAGGATAGGCAGCTCATTGAAAGATTGCAAGCCAGGAATCAGTATGAGTGTAGAGAGAATAGGAAGCGAGCCAGAGAGGCAGGTGACGAGGGGAGAGGGGTGACTGACAGCCGTCGTCGTGGCGGGTGTGGGCGGGCGGGCAGGCGCAGATGCCGGGGCCAAAGAGCGGGTCGACACACGCGCAGTCGCCGCCGTCAAAGGCGCACGCGGGCGTGTTGCACGCTGCATCGCACACCCCGTTCGCCAGCCGCCGCAGCCGGCACCCCGGCGAGCACTGGTAGGGTGCTGAAGTCGCTGAGGGTGTGGTAGTGTTGGTGTCAGTGAAACGTGCGGTGCTGGAGAGAGTGCTGCTGTCAGTGGCGTTTGCTACATCTGCCATGCACGCATTGCATGTACATACGGGATGGATGATGAAGTTGAATGGATGCAGTGGGGGCGGGTATAGCGAGAATGCAGGAAGATAAAATGGTGAGGGTGAAAGAACTGAAGAAACGGGAGGGAAGGCAATTTAAGGAACTCACAAATGCCATGTGGTATGACATGTGGTATGGCATGTGGTATGGCATGTGGTATGGCATGTGGTATGGCATGTGGTACAGCATGTAGATGTATGGCTGGCGGCATCGTATGCAGTATGGCTTGTGGTACTGCATGTGTTATGGCATGTGGTATAGCATGTGGTACAGCATGTAGATGTATGGCTTGCGGCACCGTTGCCGGTATGGCTTGTGGTACTGCATGTGTTATGGCATGTGGTATGGCATGTGGTACAGCATGTAGATGTATGGCTTGCGGCATCGTATGCGGTATGGCTTGTGGTACTGCATGTGTTATGGTATGTGGTATGGCATGTGGTACAGCATGTAGATGTATGGCTTGCAGCATCGTATGCGGTATGGCTTGTGGTATGGCATGCAGCGCATAGTATGTGGAATGGCATGCCGAGCTCACCAGCAACCTCAGCTCCTGCTCGTGCGGGCAGCACAGTGAGAAGAGACGCAGACGAGGGGGAAGACGCGGAGGAGGAGGAGGAATCATCGACAGAGAGAGTGCCGTCCTCGTAGTGGATGGTGATTGGCTCCTCAAACACCTTGCTGTAGGAAAAGAAGCCAGGGGACTCGTCGTCCATCTCTGGTTGAAGGGATTGGGGAGGAGCAGGGGGAGTGGGACAGTGGGACAAAAAATGGGGTGCGAGGATGCAGCAGAAGGGTGAAAGGGTACGTGTGGAAGGACAGACAGCCAGTCAATTGTGCTGCACACATGAGAACCTAGCGTGACATCATGCCATAAGAGAACCTCCCCCTCACCCATACCTCATTGTTAAGTTGGCAAACCCCCACTCACTAAGCACACATGGTTGCGGTTCATCGAAGGTGTCCCCCTGGCCAACATTCATGTGGGTGCAAGCCATCTTGCGCGACACGCCCAGACGGTGCCCTCCAAAGCCTAGAAACAGCGGGTCGTCTGCCTCACCCATCGCTGCCACTGATGGTGGTGGCAGTGGAGAAAGAGAGGATTGGGGATTCAGTAGTGTAGGCAAACAAGTGAAAAGCAGTTCACGGAGTGCAGTGGGAGCACGATGGATCATAATTAACATGCAAAGGTGCAGCAGATTGCACACAGGGACTAGTGGCACCAATACAGGTGGTAGAGTTGAATACCTTTGAGGGAGTGCGGGAGGTCGTCATCCCACACCCAGGTGACCTTGTCTCCCACATGAATGGTCGTATTGTGAGTCACGCCTGACCGCCACCGCAGCCACGCACCACTTGGGACACGAGAAAGAAACGGGAGGAAAAACCCCGACAGGCAATCATGATTCGATTGAGGTGCCATAGTGACAGCAGCACTCTCGGACCTACTACACCCACACACACATGCAGACTGTACATACACCTACACATCCACACACTCATGGACACGCGCATCACATGCACACGCTCACATGAGCACGCACCCACCAGCAGGACCACCGGCCATGAGCACCCACCTTGAGAGCAGCCGACAGCGTCGGAGGTGACGATGGCATCATCGAAGGAGTGCATGAGCGAGTTGAGGCAAGCAGCAGCCGCATCTGAAATGAGCGTCACAGAGCTCAGCGCTGCCCCCACCGTCAGCACGAAGCGCCGCATGTGCTGCGCTGAGATCACACGCCCGCCCCTCACGTGCGTGCTCTGCAGATACGCATGCATGTCCGAAATTGACAACACCTGCTGCCCTTCTGTATCCGTGAGACGGCACTCATCCATCGTCATCACAGGCCCCCCCAGCATCGTGCAAAAGCACGCCACCATGTGCCAGCGCAAGCTGCCTGGCCCCCCCTGTGAGTGCTTCCTGCTTGCTCCCGGCCCGTGGCCAGCAAGGCAGCGGTCTTTGGCAACGGTGAAGAGCGCTCGTGACACCGCCACCTGCAGCACTGTCAGTCGCTGGCTGTCCGTGGCTCCCAGGAGCGACCAGAGGGAGGGCTCTGTGGGGTCTGCTGTGCCTTCTGCTGCCATCGGTGCTGCTGTTGCTGGTAAACCGGCTGCTGTTTCTGCTGCAGGTGACGGTGGTGTTGATGCTTGTGTCACTTCGAATCTCTGTAATTCCTGTGCGTGTGCTGCTGTGAGTGCCGTGGCAGCAGCAGAGGCAGACGCAGCAGGGGAGTCGACAGCAGGGGCAGCAAGGGAGCGCACTCCGGCAGCAGCAGGCAGGGAGGAGGTGTCAAGGGGGCCGGGGGCAGCTGAAGCGGGCCAACGGTCGTAGGTGTGAGAGTGGTGGAAGCGGTAGAGTGCCTGAGATCAGCCATGCACCACGGATTTTTGGGGAGTGGGTTGGTAAAGTGAGGCTGTGAAAGATGACCGGATGACAGAGCAAAAATAAGAAGCGAGGTCATTGCAGCCGCAACTGAAGGTAACCGCAGTGAGGAGGGGAAAGTGACAGCGAGCAGTCAGGAACCACATTCACAAAGAGGGAACACACAGAGCAAGAGATGAGAAGTGAAACACACATAGAGGGATGGCAAGAAGCGGGGAGAACATCACCTTTCGGCGTTTGTTGCTTGATACATGAACCGTTGAGTCTGAGCCTGTGATGAGACGCAGACAGCGGAATGTAGCGCGCGGAGGGAAGAGGCACTCAGTCTAAAACTTATCAGCAGAGCAGGGAGACGCAAGATGTGGCAAGGAGATACCATGAGGACAGACTTGTACAATCAGTAAAAGGAGCGCCTGTGACGGAATTGGTACTTGGCAGGAAAGGAAGGAGGTGAGGAAGGCGAGCGTGGGGTGCTGGCACATGCACCTAGCTAGTGCATGCATACCTGAGACATTGCACGGGGTGTTGGAAAATAGCGATGCGATATCCGGCTGGAGAGAGTGGGCGAAGCGGCATCGGAGGGGGAGATGTGTGGCAGGGGAGGGTGAGAAACAAGACAAGTGGGCCCCAAGTAATGTGCAGCATGGTGCAGGGCAGGTGGTGTGGTTGTATGAAAAAAAACACACACACACACACACACACACACACGAAGCAAAACATGAGCAGAGCTGCATGCGACACGGCAACATGGGGCAGCGAGAGGAGCAAGGGGGAAGGGACGCACCAGGGGCAGGGAGTGTCGGCATAGGTGGTGATGGAAGAAGGTGCGACGATGCACATGCGCGCACAGTCCACGAACACTCCGTGAATGCTCGCCCACAGGTTGCTGGCAGGCAGACCACCAGCTTCTCACATGTCTGCACACAATCATGGATGAACGCACACACACATGCATGCATGCACACATGCAATCAGTGGGATTGGCATCACATGTGATTAAAAGCATGCACGCACTCAGCTTGAGAAGATGCCTGATGTGATTTAAGTATCTCCCACACATGGAGCACATGGAGCAACAACATGCTCACATCACGACAGATGTCAGGCGAAGCACCAGCAGCGCCGCCACTTGGCCCCGTCTGATTGGCTGCCACAGTGCCATCATCAAGTGCACAGTACCCCCACGCGGCGAGCTCAATGGTGGAGGCGGCGCCGACGACGGAGAAGCGGCGCGTGCCAGGAGGGGGCGCGTGCACGGTGCCGCGGATGCCCCCCGCGGGCGCGTTGAGCACCACCACCCAGTCGCCGTCCGGAATGTCCAACGCCACAGTCGTTTCTGTCTCGCCCCGTGGGAATGGCTGGAATGTTTCGTACCTGGTTGCCAAGCATGCACCCCATGGGGTGGGGTGGGGTGGGGTGGGGTGGGGTAGGATGGGATGGGACGAGAGGGATGGGATGGAACGGAATGGGATGGGATGGATGGGATGCGAATACTACACAGGACGGGACGGCAAGAAGGGCAGAGAGAGGCGAGAGGAGGGCGCGTATGTGCAGGCAAGGGCTGGTGTGTAGCTAGAGGGCGAGCATACCAGCAGAGGGAGACGGGGTCAACCATGCAGAGGTTCCAGGAAGAGCCGTCGACGGCCAGCTGTGTGTCGAGGTGCGAGGAGAATCTGACCACCACCGAGGTGAGGTTGGGGAACTTGCCGCAGTCCGCCTCACAGCCAAAGCGGCCAAATGCGGGGAACTGGAAGGGGCGGTGGCATGTGCCGTCTCCACACGTGAGGTCCGCCCAGAGGCTCTGCAGGGGCGGCGGGGGGAGCGGCGGGCCAGAGGGGAGCAACACTGCCAATGAGTATGCGGAAAGAAACACGCATTGAAGTGAATGAGGAGCGACAACTCAGAGACGCAGAGGAGAGGGCGAGGAGCGCACACCTGCATGATGCTGGTGTTGAGCCAGCTGTAGAAGTAATCCGGGCCGTTGAAGGTGTTGGACGCATCTTGGCGCACGCCCTGCTCTCGTGGTGGGCAGGGAGACACACACGCAGGGCGGAGGGTGAGCGAAGAGGACTGGGAGAAAGAGGGCGCTTCTGAGGCGCCTCAAAAGTAAAATACTTCTGAGGCTCCGCAAAACTCAAAAACGTTTGAAGCGCACAAAAATCAATGCGCGCAAGAGGTATGGGGCCAGCGGAAGTGGGATACAGGCGGGTAGAGCTCAGGGGATGTGGGGTAGGCCGTACGGGGGGGAAGAGCACGGCATGCGCGGCGGTGATTTCGTAGCTGCGGGAGGAGTCGGCCTGGAGGTAGAGGATGGTGATGAAGAGCGCCATGAGCACCACGAACCCGCCCAGGTCACGGTAGTGCTGCACGCGCTGCTGCAGCCCCACCACGCGCGAAAATGCCTCTGCCACGCACGCAAATGGGGGAAGGAAAGGGGGGGATTCCGAGAGGAAGGATCACACAGGAATGGGGGAGTGTTGCAGGCAGCGGCGTGGACGCGTGGACGATGAGGCGGCTACGTGTAGCAGCGATGACGGTGGGGCTGGCGCGCAACGCCGCCAGAGGGTGCATAGCCCCACAGCCCAGCAGTCAAGCACCGCTCTGAACATGGGCGCACCTTGCAGCACCTCTCTGTCCATCTCGTCCATCTCCGCGTCCTGCAGTGTGTCGCTCGCCGACCGCAGCAAGGTCCTGCCCGTCATGCTCTCCGTCACGCCGTTAAGCGCGCCCCGTTCCATGGCCTTATCCGCCGTCGTATCCATGGTCGACATCGTCTTCCCCTCAGTGTCGCCCGTCAAGCTGCGCTTCAAAAGAGCAGCCCCTGGCGCGGTCGCCTTCCCCTCTCCGCCTTCCGCGCCATCCGCGCAGCCCTGGTCGGGCGCGCTTGCCCGCCTGTCCTTCTTGCGGCAATGCCGCAGGAAACCACGCAGCCCCCTCTCATCCTCCGCCGCGCTCTCGTAGCTGCTTGCGCTGCTGCCGCTGTTGCCGCTGCTGTCCCGCGCTCCCTTAGTCTTCAAACCTTCTCCGCCAAGTCTCCCTTCCTCCGCCATCCTCTCGGCCGCCCCACCCTCCTCGCAATACCCTCTGAAGAAGCCGTTGCTGCCATGACCCTGATTGAACGAAGAGCTTTCTTTGACACGTGTCATCAGCTCTGCATTTTGCGGCGCGAAGCCATAGCTATTGAGGAGATCCAAGTTGTGATTCTTGTGGCTGCGAGTCCCCGAAGGCTTGCGCCTGAAGCGGGGAGGAACGGGGAAGAGTTGGAAGTGGGCGGAACGAAGGGAAAAGCAGCTTGGCACGGCGGAGTTCACGTGCTGTTCATGCGAACTGGAAAATGTGGCACTAAGAATCATACAGAAACTCCTGAACTGCACTTATCATGATATGATGAAAACAAGACTTCATCAGTTCCAGCTCGCGGTCCATGCTGCATTCGCAGGAATTAGTAACTTTCACAGGCGAACATGGCTCATGTTCGGCTCACCTGGAAAAGGCTTCGGATTTGGATCGAGCCCACATGCGGTAGTTGGCCGCCTCATACGCGTCGAACTTCTCGTCCAGCAAACTCTCCGACCGCGTTAACACCGCTTCCCTTTCGCTATTCGCCTCCGCCTGCTTCTTCGCGCGCACTACTGCGACCGCCTCCGCCATGATCGGTACCCTGCAAGGCAAGAAGCAGACCTGCTCGGAATTTAGCTACGGCAGGTCTTTAAAAACTATAAGTTATGACGAGACATTGTTCTGTCTGTTCGACAGTTTGGTAGTAGAAATAGGGTAGTACAAGGATGCAGCCGGGAGGTGCTGTAATCCAGGAGTAGTGAGGGTGTCTCAAGTGGGGACGACGACAAATGTCGAGAGAGGTGGACGGTCGGATGCCTCAGGTCCAGATTCTGATACTTCGGCTCTCTAGCCATATCTCGTCGTTTGTCGACGTCCCCTGAGATTGAAGGAGGGGAGGGAGTAAAAGTAGCAGGGGACTATGGGACGGGACGGGAGTGACGCACGCGACGCCAGAATAACGTAAGCTCTTCGGTATCACACAACAGAATCCGAACACCCCAGCGGAATCAGGTCGACGGACCCGAGTTGCCAGTGTCGACGAGGGGGGTCGTCGAAGCCTGGGCCGACGGGGCGGAGCACTGACGCGCGTGCGGGCCCGCCAGCCTGGCCCAGGGCTGGGCCGAGCGCACGACCGCCGCCCCGCGGCCCCGCCCCGAACGTGAACAGCGGCCCACGTTACCGGGTGGGGTCGGCGAACTGGCGACACCTCGCGCGTGGGAAAATTACCCTCGCGCGAAGGCAGCCCACGCGCGCCACCTGCCCGCGAGGTCCTAGTAACCCATCGCGGCCTGCCCGGACGGGCAGGCGAGGGCCGGGCGAAATGTCGGGGCCCCCTCGGGACGCTCGACAACTTCGCGACCCGTTGCGGCGACGCCACGTGTTCGCCCGCCTGCTTCGCATCGGGCAACATGCAGAATTTGATACATTGCGAACTCAATTCGGGACATCGCGAATTCGATGTCGATCGCTTCGCGGCGCACGTTTTTCGCTTCGGGGCGTGACATCGACTTGCTGGCTCGGCGGCGAACGAGGACTTGTGCCACTTGTGGAGGACTTGTGCCAAACCCCGCCGAGGCAGGCACCACGAGGGCCGGGCGATGCCTCGACCGTTCCTGTGGGGCACCGACCCCCTTTTCTTGGTGGAAGGGGGCATAGCTCCTCATTTTCGGCATCTCGTTTCCCTTTCCACCTTTTCCCCAGCTCTGCGCCTTCTCCCACATTTCACGTCCCTTAGCCGCTTCCCTTCCCCGCCATGTCGGCCGCCACGAAACTCGGCGAAGTGACGCCGACTTCGCAGGACTTCCCTCTGTATCTCGACCTGGGCAGTGGACTGACTGCCAAGCTCGACGAACACGACTACGCCGTCCTCGTAGACCATAGGCTAGAGTTCAACGCCCGTTGCTTGGGATTCGGCCTCAAGTGAGTGTCCGTATTGGGATGTCGACGTCGACCGCTGGATACCTTGCAGGTCGACGTCGATAGGGTTGTCCCACGTTAGGGTTTAGATCACTACTCGGTGACGCACGCAGCCGTAGGTAGGCATCGTACTCCGATCACTACAGTAGGTCGGTGCCCGCATCGGTAGGCGCCATTGATTACAACGTAGCGACGGTGGTGCACCGTTCTATTCTAGCCATCCCCGTCAGTTGTCGGTTCCAGAACCCACGTGTCCATCCGTCGTGCCGTGCACGTCCTCAAACACATCTACTACCCATGCATGCGTGCAGGTACGCATGGATTCGCGCGGCGCCGGCCAACATGCGATTGTGGTCGATAGGACTCGGCCGGCTTCGGGCGGCGATGGGCAAGGAAGACCACTCATGCTTTGCAACGGTGTTCGACGCCGACGTAGCTGTTATCCCTCTGCATTCGAGGTGAGCCTAAGTCATGATGGTGTGCCTTGATGCCTTATGTCGCTGCTCCGTTCTGATCGACGTCGTGGTGCCTAGCCTGTGCAGCATCGCACCGCTTCCAGGGGCACATTGCAGCGTCGTGGTCATCCTGTACCCCGGCGACTTGTTGCGGGCCGGGGGAGAGACGATCAGGACCTCTGTCCGGCACTTCGACCCGCAAACCGTGAAGCAGTGGCACCGCGACGAGGCGATCCGCGTGCTGAAGTGAGCTCGAAAGTGTAGTCGACGACGCATGCAATTTCGCCGCTGGGCGTTAAGCAAGTCTACTGACGATATGTGCCATGTTGCTTCAGGTTTTTCCGGGCGGCGGTGCTGGCCGAGCTCGGCCGCGATGGCCGGCACTGGGAGTGGCCGAAGCCTTCTGCTGAAGAGGTGGCGGCCAGGCTCGCCGACTTCAATGAACCCGTTCGAGATGTGAGTACCGATCGTTTTACCGTCCTAGCGCGATGCCATCGCCGCCGTCGGTGCTCATCCTTGCTCTCTCCTCTGTTGTTTGCAGAAAATGCGCGACACCGTCCGGGACGGCGACGCAGGCTCTGGCCTCCTCTCAATGAGCGCGCTGTGCTGGGTGGTGAAGAGGATGGATCGCCTGACCGGCGACGACCGTCGCAGTGCGACCAGCATGGACAAGGTCCTCGTTTCGGGGTTGAAGGAGCTGCGGATTCGGATGATGACAAACATCAAGGAACACGTCGCACGCAGACGGTCAGGCCATGTCGGAGTTGGTGCCGATGCCTGTGAAGACGACGCCGCGGAGCCCCCTTCGGCATCCCAAGCAGTCGGTGTCGCCGACACAAGCGGAGAGGCCGGAGACGGCGTCGACAAGGCAGATGAGGAGGCAGAGAGGGCTGTGGCGAGGACCGCGGATCAGGAAAAGGAGGAGGAGGAGGATGACACCGACGATCAGGATGATAACGAGGAGGATCGTGAGGAGCGTGAGCAGGGGCATGGGCAGGAGGAGGAGGAGGAGGAGGAGGAGGAGGAGGAGGAGGAGGAGGAGGAGGAGGAGGAGGAGGACGAGGAGGAGGAGGAGGAGGATGATGAGGAGGAGGAGGAGGACAAGGAGGCGGCGGCGGCGGAGGCCGTGGAGCAGGGTTTCGGGTCGGTGGAGCAGGTGGCGGAGGGGGAGAAGCAGCAAGAGGGGGAGGAGGAGGTAGAGTTCCCCTGGGTCGAATTCGAGATGGAGGATGTTGAGGGAGCGGCGGCGGCGGCGGTGGCCGTGGAGGGAGCGGCGGCGGCCGTGGAGGGAACGGGCGGGATGTCGGCGGATGTTGTGTACGTGCGAGGGGAGGGTGCCGATGTGGAGAATGTCGGCGTGGAGGAGGCGCACGTGGTCGGCAATGTGGTTGGCGACGCGAAGGAGGAGGATAACGTCGCGTCCCCGACGCCGACGGGCGTGGAGACCACCACAGGGAACGCAGGGGTGGAACGCCGGGGTGGAGCGGTAGAGGCGGGCCGTCAACCGGGTTTCTCAGCAGCTGGTCGGCAGGCAACGCCGGCCGTCGTCGCGCAGCTGCGACAGGAGAACATGTGGCTGAGGGCTGAAAATGCTCGTCTCGAGACGGCGCTCGGAGTGGAGAGGGGTCGGGTGGACAGGTTCGCGATGGGGATTGGCCACCTCGTGGACAAGCTCAGGTCGTTGGCCGACCAGGTCGCCGCCTCCGACCAGGACGCGTCGAGTCGGCTGATGGACGCGTCCTTGACCATGGCGACGACCGTGACGGAGAACATCACTGCCAACATGGGTGAAGCATGGGAGGCGATGAAGGCGTACGCCGAGAGGGCGGAGAGCTGGTTGGACGATCTAGAGAATCCGGAGGGGGTTATGGCGGTGCAACGTGCGAACGCGGTCGTCGCCCTGGGCAACCACGTGGACGAAGCGAGGAAGGGATTGGAGGAATACATATCGAAGCACCTAGTCGCCGCGCAGACCAACATCGCCGCCGCCGTAACTCAACGCGTCGCCGTCCCGCCGCCCACGCAGCCCGCCCCACCGCCAGCCTTCCCGGACGAGCTCATGAAGTCTTTCAAGGCGGACGTGTTGAAGGCGGTGACTGAGGCCACCCAGCAGTCGTTTGCTGCGTCCGGGTTAAACCTCATGACCCAGGTGATCGGCCATCTGGCGCCTGGTCGGCATGGGTCGTCGCCGTCGGACAACGAGGCCAACAAGAAGGGTGCGAAAAGGGCGGGCGGCGGAGATGATGCGTTGAGCTCGAAGCGGAGCAAGGGAGCCGATGGGAGCCGCGGCGTCGGCCAGGCGGCTCCAGGCGGCTCGCGGGGCAAGGGAGCCGATGGGAGCGGAGGTACGAGCGTGGTCGACCAGCTGAAGAAGAACGGGGCCAAGGTGATAAGGACGCACAGCAAGGGCGATGGAATCAGGAGTGCGGAGGGGGGCCCTGCCGACCAGGTTGCCGCTCAAGAGGCTGGACCAACAGCCCCGCCATTGGTCGCCGAGAAGCCGGCCAGTCTAGCGACCGCACCAACGGCGATAGATGGCGGCGCCAAAACCGTCAAAGGACCGTCCGTCGGAGTGGCGGGGACCACGTCGATCCCCCGCAAACCCCCTGCGGCTAGCAGCGCGCCGGTCGCCCCGTCAGCCGCCAACAACGATGGGCCGTCCCTTGCGGCTACTCCAGCACCAGCAGGCACGTCTGCCGCCAAGGTTGACGCGGTGGATGCTGCGGCTAACCGCGCTGGTCCGTCCGCCCCAAAGGCGAACGCGCTCAGGGAGATGCTCAGCCGCATGGAGACCCATCGACAGGACGTGCAGCAGCCTCCCGTGGTCGGCACCGCGCCGGCCACAACAGCACGTCGCTCGGTCACTCCCCAGGTCGCCGCCACAACGTCCAGTGCCCCACCTACCGCGCCTATCATCGCCGCCCGTCCTCCTGTGGACCCAAAGTCCGCGTTGCTTCGCGCCCAGTTAGGCGTACGTACTGCGGCTGCGCCGGCACGGGCTCAGCCGGTATCCAGCTCATGCGCGACGCCGACGTCGGTGACCGTAGCTGCACACACACTCGGTGCGGCTACTATCGAGGCGGTGGCGGAGAAGGGCGTGAGTGCAGCGCTAGCCACGGGCGGCAGATCAGTTGACCCTGCACAGGCGGCGAAGGACCACAACGACGCCGATATCGCTGCCATCCAGGACCTGTTGGAAGCGGTAAACCGCCCCAAGCAGCCCCCTGTGCTGGCCATCTTGGACTCGGCGAGTCTCACCGGCTGTACAGCGGAGCCAAAGACGACCACTGCTGCGGTCGGCGCGGGAAAGTCGAAACGGAAGGGGACGGTCGACGCAGGGAAAGCGAGGCCGAGCTCGAAGAAGAAAACACGGGCGACGTCGGCGATGGTGAAGTCGGTGCAGAAAGGACAGGGGATGGCGACGGCGATGGTGGAGAAGGAGACGAAGGAGGAGGAGAAGGAGGAGGAGGAGAAGAAGGAGAAGGAGAAGGAGAAGGAGAAGGAGAAGGAGAAGGAGAAGGAGACGGAGAAGGAGAAGGAGAAGGAGACGGAGGAGGAGAAGGAGGAGGAGGAGGAGGAGGAGGAGAAGGAGAAGGAGAAGGAGGAGGAGGAGAAGGTGGAGGAGGCGGAGGAGAAGAAGCTGGAGGAGGAGGAGGCGGCGACGGAGGAGGAGAAGGTGAAGGTGAAAGAACGGAAGGGTCATGGCATCCGCCACGACTCGACGGGCGACAAGCAAGGGTGGGTGGGCGAGATCAAGGTGGTCGGGAACGAGAGCAGATACATCGGCAAGTCCCGCGACAAGATGGAGCTGGCGTACCTTCACTCCATTGTGTACCTCCTGTACGACGGTTTCGTCAGCAAGATCCTCATGGCCGAGCTCACCGGCCTGGAGGAAACAGTGATGAAGCAGTGGAGGGCGGTGTGGAAGGAAGTCCGGTTCTTGCCGACTGGGATGTGGACGGTGATCTGGGCAAGGGGCGCGTTCCTCCCAAGGACACGGTAAGTCGGATAAACGTCGGCCAAGCTATGATGTCGACGTCGGCGTTCCTAACGGCCAGTTTCGTGTGATTGCGTGACAGGTTCGACGACATCCTCGGGAAGTATAGAGCGTACAAGACATCAGGCGATGCGCACCACGACGCGCTTTTGCCCGCGATCTGGTTCCCCGTCGATGCCGACGGGAAGTCGGATGCAATGATGTCGGCCATGCTTGATCGCGTGTCCTTGTGCGCGGCGTATGGGGAGGTCGCTGCATCCGCGGCGAGAATGGAGGGCGACACGGATCAGAAGACGGCGAAGGTCGCACAGGCGCTGTCGGCCTCAGCTTGCGCACTGTGGTGCTTAGTCGAGGGCGACGGCGCCCAGGTGGCTGATGCCGTCCGCGAAGGGAAGGCGGCGGCGATGTTGGTCGGCGCCAGCGAGACTACCGCCGCCGAGTTCAAGAAGGTCATGACGGCGGTGCTGGAGGCCGCGATCAGCAGGCAGCAACCCCTTGGGGAGGTTGCGCACAACGTCGCACCGGCGCTGGAGTCCACCGCTCTGGCCAAAGCCTATCCGGGGTTGGATGTTGAAGCCGAGGCCAAACTGATCGCACGAGCGACGGTGGAAACCCTCGCGTTCTGGGGAATGTGCCCCGTGGATGGGCCGAAACTCAGGAAGATCGGCATCGCGGTGCCGCTTGACGCGCAGATGGAGTACGACATCGAACACAGGGGGAGGAAGAGGCCGAGGGGCAAGCAGGGCAAGGACAGCTCGGGGAAGAAGGGGAAGAAGGGCAGAGCGGGCAAGGACAGCACGGCGGCGTAGTCGGCATAACAATCTGCCATGGGCGGCAGGAGGGAGCGCAAGTAGGTCTTCTTGCAAGGATGGCCTGGTATGGGCGGCGTCGATTATGTGGTTTTTTTGGGATTTTTTTTTCGTTTGATTGTATAGTTTACGTTGGGATTTCTTTTGTTGGCTGTAACTTTTTGGTAATGCATGTTACTAGAACACTCCTCGGCAAGGTCGACCTGATATCTACCATGTTACTCAAATGCGGGCCCCGGTTCGATGAACCCCGTCGTACGGTGTCGACATAGTGCGTCTGGCTGTATGCATGTATATACTCGGCGATGAGCATCGTCGGCTAGGCCGAGATGGTCAATGGTCGGCGCTTTGGGGAATGTGCCGCGCCGCCCAGGTGGCCGAAACTCTAGGAGGTCGGCATCGATGTGCCGTTTGACGCGCATATCGAGCGGGCATGGACAGCACGGATGCGTAGTCGGCGCGCGGAAGGAGCGCTAGGTGGTATGATTGCTCGGTTATAGCGTGATGGGCGCCGTTTGCGCCGTTTGCATGCAGTCAGCGATGTCGACATGAATAAGGCACAATGAATTGCACACACATGGTGGCGACTATGTCGGAGTCCGACATATCTGGTTCGGATGTATGTGTTGGATCATGTATGTTCTTGTTGCATCAAAATGAACAAGTACGATGGGAACACAACGGTTTGCTAAATTAGGGTATCATCAACCTACGCTAACACATATACACCGAGGATCTTCATGCCGACTTCTTGCGCTTTGACGGAGGACGCTGCGCAGGTGCGGTCTGCTTGGCCAAGTCGGCCACGGTCTTCGGCATCTGCTCCTCCCAGGTGTCTGGAAACAGGCGGTCGACCCACGTCGTCGGCTTCAGCTCGAGCGCCACCAGCGCACAGGCGAGGCGTAGCTTCGAGACCACCTTGGGGCCAAGCCCCTTGACGCCCATGCGAGGCTCCTTGGACATCGTCGGTGCCGTCTCCGGGTTGAGCACCGTGAGGGCATCGCAGAAGGTACCAATGCCCGGTGCCGCGATCGTGTTCAGTGCATCGACCACGGCTTCGGTGTCGGCATCGCCGTCGCTCGCGCGTAGCTGGCGCACCGCATCCATGGCCTTCAGCATGCGGCGCACCCTCATGTTGAGTGCACCCTGGGTCGCGCCGGCGAGGAGGGTGTGGCGGTCGATGAACCCCGGCTCGGCGACCCTGTCGCAAAGACGACGGGTGTCATTGGCGGTGGCGGAGTTCCAGAGGCGCCAAGCGTCCCGCACGGTCTTTGAATCCCGCCAAGGTTGCACGACGTTGAGCTCGTAACTGGCCTCCTTTGCCGTCTGGGGGGGTGGCGGGGGTTTCCCATCATCTCTCTTGGCTCCGGTCCCCGTGTTGGCCGAATCCGCGGAGCCACCTTCGCCCGGAGTTTGATCGGTAGCCGACGTCGGCGCCGCCGGCATCCTCCGGGCTTCTGACACACGGAGTGCCTCAGTGAGTCGAGCAAGCTCGGCGGTGAGCGACGCGATGGTGTCGTTTTGCTTCTCGATCGTCTCCTGAAAGCCTAGCTTCTCGAGCGCCGAGCGCTCGACCTCCTTCTTCAGCGCCTCCTTGAGGGACATGTTGTGATACTGGGTGTCCATGCGCACGGATATTTCCTGCAATGTTGGGTGTGCGGAAAGGCGACAAGAGGTTAGAATTCACCGGCTAAAATCCAACAACGCCGACATGGTCGGCAACTCACCTCCGGTTGTATCTGAGTCGGGTCCCGGCGCTTTTTGATCGTATCGGTGTCGACCGACTCGACCCTTTTCGCCCAGTGCTGGAAGAGGGCAATCCTGCAGAGCTTGGAACCTTGGACGTACGGGTGCCACGGTGTGCGGACGAGCTTCACCGCGAGGTCCTCGGCGACGATTCGTCGGAACATCACGAGGGTGCGCAAGAAGTGCACTGCGGCTGCAGCGGCGTCGCTCCCGTTGACGGCACGCGTCTCCGCCTGCAAGTCGGAAAGTGGCGTGGGTTAGTAGGGAGTTGGGCAGCCAACTAGGCCACGACGACTGAAATACATTGTCGGCGTCGCGTGACATACATCGCGCAGCATAGCATCCACGCCGGGGAAGATGTGCTCGGCGAGCAGGTCCAGGAGTTTGTCGGAGGGCTCGACCCTGCTGCGCCCCAAGAAGTAGTCTTGCTTGAGTCCCGAGTAGCCGGCCTTTTGCATCACCACCCCAACGGGAATGGCCGTGATGTACGCACGCGTCATCTTGTCGAGAGCCCAGTGTCCCAGCTCGGCGATCTGGGCGCGCGGCGTCCCTCCGATGGCTAACTCCTGCGCACCTCCGGCGCGGGCGGCGTGCACGTTCCTTTTGCAGAACACCTTGTTGGTCGTCCACACCTGCCGAGTCCAACGTTGGTGGGTGGCGGAGGAGAGCTCCTCCTGCTCCTTGTCGTTTCTGGCGAAGAAGAGATGCTTCTTGTACCAGCGTTCGCGTTCTGTGATGTCAAGCGGCGAAAGAAAGTCGGTGCCGGAGAACTGACCGATCTGGTCGAGGATGAAGTGCAGCCACAGGCCGGTCTCGCCGACGGCGCACAGCTCCGCTTCCAGGTGTCGCGCAGCGTAGCTCTGCTGAAGACGGGCATCCTTGGAAGTCTTCGAGTTACGCGCGGCGATCACCATGACGACCGGCTGGCTATCCGGGTTGACCTCCGAGGTGCTCGCCAGGTGGTACAAGAAGATGTCGGGGAGCGTGATCTCGCGGATGCTGCCGCCGCGCAGGAGAGTGTGGTGGGAGAGTAGCGTGAGCACCTTGATGAGCAGGAATCGCCACAGCGTCTGCGACGGAGTGGTAGCCCGCGGGTTCCACGCCGCCGCCGCCCATGTCGGCAGCACCCTCATCATGATCTGGCGGAACTGCTCGGCGGTGTAGGTATCGCCGATGGTGCCGCGTCGACGGTCGGCGCAGTTCCTGAACGCAAATCGGCGGGGAAAATCTGTTAGACTGCGTCGACTTCACAGTGCACAGTGATATATAATAAGGTTGTCGACCAACTTACTTGAGGTCCCTCTCGTTCTTGTGGCGGACGTTGAACCGCACCTCCGATCTCACCACCGAGATCTCCCTCATGAGGCCCAGCTCCTTCTCTCGGTACAGCGTCGCCTCCACCCTCGCCGCCATCTGGCATGCCTTGATCCGGCCGAGGATCGTGTGCACAGTTGTCGACCTCACAGGCCCCGTTCGCGTGGCATTGTTCTCCTCCCCGGGCTGGTCAACAATGAGGTTACACTCACGGCTCATTTGCTTCACGTAGGCGCGCAGCCGGGTTTCGGTGACCCTAGGGCCGTGCAGCCAGATGTACTGTCGGCGGACCACTTTCTCGTTGCACCAATCCTCTTTCTTGTTGTCGCGGATGTAGTGGCCGATCTCGTCGACGTGCCTAAGTCGTTGCTCATGGGGTAGCTTGTCGCGTAGCTGCTTCAGCATCTTCGCCGCCCACTTCTTGTAGTGGTAGATGAACGCGGTGTACAGCCTGAGCGTGCTATTCTTCTCCAAGCATTGTGGGTGTCGTAGGGCGTCCATTATGAGCACGTCAATGCTGGAGTACACCATGTCGTCCACTACAAAGTCCGTCGCCTTCCACCCTTCGCGCGGCACCGCCATGTGCTGATCGTCCTCCTTCTCGTCCGCGTCGAGCATGTCACGTATGTATTCAAATTCCCGCCTAAGGCGTTCTTCCAAGGTGCGCGGATTCGTGCTACGCAGAGGACGGTTGTCGACTTCGTCGTCGCTCTCTTCCTCGTCCTCCTCGTCGTTATCACCTTGGTTTTCCGAGCCGGCGGGCACCGACGAAGGTCCAGTCTGCCCATCTGCCGTCGGTGTCGACTTCTTCGTAAACTCCCCAATTGGCGGATTCGGTATGTCCTTGGTGTACTCCCCTTCGGGAATCTGAGTAAGTTTGTCAAGATCGTAAAGCAACTTCAGCGTCTCTACGGGGGCAGAGGACGGACTGTGGTCGGTTGGGGTACCAACGTCGGACATGTCGACGTCGTCCATGACCGCTCGTATGCTCTACCGCCGGCCGTGGAAGAGGGAAAGATTGGTCAACCAGAGATGGTACTGATTCATGGGTGCGGTGTACGCCCTAATCGTCCTGCGGCTGTCTTCCTCGAATTCCCTCTCAAGTGCTTCTAACTCAGCGTCGACCTCGAGTCGTTCCAGTTGCGCTTTGATGTCGTCGTCTACCGAATCGGCGGGGGGTGGGATAAGTTGTTGTGGCTGTTGGGCACTAGCCCTTCCTCTGGCCACGCGTCGCCGACTCGGTAAGGTTGGGAGATGCTATCGTCGCCCTGATCTATCGTCGCCGACTTTCCTAGATGACGACCTAGAACCTAGTAAGGCGAAGTCGACGATGGTCGACCCCAACACCGACCTATGGCAGTCTATTCCAGGTCGTCGCCTTTGTGCCGCCGCTCGGTCGACTCGGCCGTCGAGTAACCTACACCCGCAGAGATAGCGAGGGTCCTGTGAAGAAAACGAAGTGCTAGATGGCGCACAGGAGCATGAGAGAAACACGAAGCTGAACCGGCAGAATGAGAGCGTTGTGCGTGGTCAAGGAGGGGTATGGTTGCGAGCCACTGCGCACCTGCCGCGCTCCACGCAGCCCTCTTTGCAAGCGCCGCTGTGCACGGGCATGACGTGTCACGATCGATGCATGTCTAGTGTCACGCCGCTCTGCGCTCAACGGCACTCCCGCCGGTGCCTTGCCACGGTGGAATTCACGTGCGCCACGTGCAATAGGCCAATGACCTAGTTCCACTCTCCCGAAATGCCGTAGCGTCCTGCTCTCCCGCGCAAGCCTCATCGACCTGCGAGTAGGCGCGTGGCCGGAGGCTTGGTCGACGCCGACATTCCCTGACTCTGGGGCTCTCTTCGCCGAGGTATACCATCCCAGTCGTCTTTCGCCGCGTGGACGATGGTTACCTTTTTCGTCGGCGCGCCATGTTTCGCGCGCAGCGAAATATACCCGGTGGTGCGAAGCGGGGCCACGTCGGCGCCGTCGTGGCACCTCCCGATTGTCAGGCTCGATCTCGGCCGTCCCTACTAAGCCACGTGGCAGTAACCGCGGCTCGGCGCACAACGTGTCGAGCTGTGGTTCAGGGTCCGCTGAGGTATCCTTCTCGAGTTTCTCTCAGCGAAACCCGAGGTCGTCAGATAGTCGACAATCCCGAGGGGTTCAGAGCCTCGGAGGACTGCCAGGTCGCCCCAGTTTGCCACTCGCAAGTCGTCAAGAGCTCGTCAATCCCGAGGGGGTTCGTTGTCCTATCGCCACCGCGAAATTGGGCGGCGGTTTTCGTCGGCTGAGGTATATCATCCCAAAACTTTCAGCCGACTTGTGGTCGTTGGGTGGGATGGGAGTCCAAAATTGGTAATCAGGCGCCGATCAGGCGATACTGTATGCTTTGGGGATTCAAGTTGCAAGCTTGTTTCGCAACTGCAATATGCATAATGTTTTACACGGTATTAGTTCCTGCATGCGAAGAGTTCCCATAGGCTGATCATTTCGGGTGGGAAATAGGGTGTACAATGGTGTGCAACTGTTCTTCTTCCTCACGTTGAGACATAAGGGTGGTATTGCCCTACTGTACATTACCCGCGTATCTTGTACTGTACACTTCAACATTTGCCAGACATCTGTGGAGTGCCACCAATGAACGGTTGGCGATCATTGCTTTCTGTTCGTTTCTGAAAACATACCGTATTCTCCCGGATAAAACACCCTAGGGTATTATGAAAACCACCGGAAAAAAATGGGGGGGGTCTCCTCAACGGAAAATCCTGTATAATACCCGGGTCTTATTATATTGTATATTTTTTATGAAACATAAATGATGTGAAACAAAATGTGGGGTGTCACTTCACTTCTAGATTGTTGATCAGTGCCGCAAAACCGAGTACGAGGATATTGTGGGTCACTTGGGCCACTTCACCTCTTGGACCACTTGCAGTGGAAGATTCGCCATCATGGCGACAGCGAGATTTTGGGATTCGCCAGCGTGGCGACAGCGAGATTGTGGGAGGGGGGATATCTCGGCTGATTCTATGTGAAAGTACATGCGAAATTTCTTTTAGGGAGTGATTTTTGCGATATCCTCCCGCAAGGAATCGGACTCGATAACAACCATAATAGGAATCTATAAGAAAAGGGGGGGTGTTGTAGAGAATCACCCCAAAAAGGGGGGGTATAGTACTAACGGGGTCGGATATAACACCCACCCCGTATTAGCTACCCGGGGGTGTACAATTACGGGGGGGTGTTTTATCCGGGAGAATACGGTACTTGTGTCGTCTAAAGGGTCAGGTCCCTTTCTAGATATACTGTAAGACTTGCTTTTACCACACTAACACCTAAGGTACTGGTAGAAATTTGCGGTCTCGTCGTGTGCCGAATTCTCACCCAAGCAGACGGCATCAGGTGATGGGCTTGGGAATCACAAAAACCATGAGGCAAGAAAGTTACGGATGTGGTTCGGGAAATTGCCCCCAAAATGAAATGAGGAAGCGAGGATCTTGATTTAGGAAACGAGCCATGAGGGGAACAAGAGCATGCCACTATCCTTCCTCTGCATTGTAGTTAGTATATCTCAACAGAAACCTCTAGGGAAAGGCATGCCATCCGATCTGACGGATGCATAAACCCTCAACACCCTAAGAAGAATTTTGCCGGTGACCCAAGTGTGCTGGTGGTCCAAAAGCGCCAGAATCAAAATCGCTAGAACGGTATTGGTTACTGGGAGGGAGCTGCTGCTGCCACTCCTCCCCTGTCCTCAAAGGGCCCTTCCTACTCAACGCTGTGCCCTCTTTAAACGACACCCGCCTCTCCGAGCCTTGCTTTGATGCCAACAAGCTTCTGCTTGCGCTCCCTCGTGCAATGCTCAAGCTGCCTCGTACGTTCCCATGTCTCTCCTGTCCCTCCACTCCCCCCCCACCTGCCCCGGTATCGCTGAACCTTCGTGGCACCTCGCTCCTGCTTCCCGCTGGCTCCAGTGGCTGCGGGGAGTCTGTGAGGAGGTCAGAGAGAGGCGCGGGCTCTGTATGGCATCGCCGCATGCTTGAACCCGCTGATGGATCCGCGGGAGCACCCATTGCGTGGGCGGCGTCTTCCAGAGGATGCGTGCGGGCGAGGTGGTCGAGCACGAGGGCCAGCATGCCCCTCAGCTCCTTCACCGCCGCCTCGCTGCGCGCCAGATCCTCCTGCTCACATTCAAACACACACGGGGTGGAAGGGAGGGGGTGGCGTTGACGCGAGGAGAAGGAGGATGACCGGATGCTGTGCACGCATGGCATGGATTTGGCACCTGAAGGGCTTATTGCAGGCTCTTCACGATTCTCAGCCATTAGGATTTGATGACAGCAACCCCCGCTGTACCGTCACACACACCCTCTCACGCTAATTTAGAACACTCAGCGCACCGCCTTCCTTGCCCACCTTGATGTGCGCAAGGCTGAGCTTCTGCACGGTCACCCCCTCTCACACTCATTCACAACGCACCTTGATGTGCGCGAGGCTGAGCTTCTGAACGGGCTTCTTGACGGGCAGGGCGGACTGCTTCACCACCTCGCCGCACTGCAGCATCACCGCCTGCGACAGCTGCTCCAGCTGCTCCTCCTCCGCAGTTTCACGCGAGGCTGCCTTTGGCCAACAAGTGGGCAGCAGCTCATGCTCATGGGGCTCATGTCGCTGAGAACAAATTGTGAAACATGGGAAGAGCAGTGGAGAGAGAGAGAGGTGCGGGGCAAGATTGATGTGAGAAGTCATGCGAAGAGTCAGCACATCACGTTTGCAAAAAACCAAGCCACAGTACATGGCTTGCCACAACACATGGCTTGCCACAACACATGGCTTGCCACAACACATGGCTCAACATACCCTGGCACAATCACATAGCATGGCACAACATAAGCCATAGCACAACCACATGGCATGCCACAACACATTGCTTGCCCAAGTACTCGTTTCAACAACCATGCCAGCACAAACCCACCTCCCTGTCCTGCCGTCGCTGCAGGATCATGGCGAGCGAGATGGCGTCGATGCGCTTCTCCCTCACTGTCAGCACATGCTGCTTCCGCACCCAAGACTCGCTGTCAGTAGAAAAGGCAGACTGGGTTTTCCCGCAGCTGCCGGAGAAGATGGCTCGCGTACGCCGCTTCATCGACTGCATACGGCGCATCCGACGATTTGACTGCACCGCACAGGAATTGGAGGTTCTTGATGAAAGGATTAGTTTCTGTAAAGCCAGCATCAACGACCATTTCAGCAACAACCGCACGCATGCAGACCCTCCACAAAACAAGAAGTTGACGACTAACTTGATCCAGGGGAGCAAGAGAATGTCATACCAAGGTGAGAAGCGAGAGTGGTACAACAAGTCTCAGTTGGGAGCATGTACAGTACGTGGGGAGGAACTCCGAGTTGGGACTAACTTGTGCACGGAATGACCTGCGTGCCCAGCTCTCACCTCTTCCACTCGGGTGTCCTTGGCGCCCAACTTCACAAGGCGTTCGAGAATGACGCGGTACGGCAGGTAGCGGCCGCGCCAGCAGTTCCACTTGTACTTGAAGATGTGAGCGAGGTCAGAGGTTATAGAGGTGGCGACGATGTTGCTATCTTTGACGTTCATAAAAGCATCGACGATGATGGCGATGAGGAAGTTGAGGAGGATGAAGACCATGAAGACAATGAACATGAAGAAGAAGAGCATTGCGGCTATGAGGTCCCATGACTCCAGGCGTTGGAAGAAGTAGGCGGAGGAGTTGTCGTTGAGGAGCAGCAGGAAGCAGGAGAACATGGACTCCAGGACTGAAGAGAACTGCACAGGTGGATGTGGTAGGCGGGAGAAGGAGATTGTTAGGGGAAAGGACGGGAAAGAAGAAAGGAAGAAACAAAAAAAATAAAAAACAAACAGGGTTATGGACGCAGTTGCCTACTATTTAACAAGCCCTTGTATACCAGTGGTCTCGTGTTTGTGATTTTGACATGGAATCAGAACAAAAGCCCTAGGTTCAAGTTCCCATGTGCACACATGCTGGCGCTGCCGCTGCTCCGTGTCCTAGGAAATCTCTATTAAGGAAGGTTGTTAGAAGATCCGCACTGAGGATGCTCGATCGATCCTAGGAAAGGGTTACAGATTCGGAGGCCTGGCGGTTTATGGACGGGCTGACCTGCTACTTAACAAGCCATTTTATCTCAATGGTCTAGAGATTGAGATTCTGACAACATGTACTCTATACAGAGGTAATATCTGAGGCAGCCACTTACCATCTCGAGTGCGCCTCCAAAGACGAGGTAGCCGTACATGCTGAAGCAGAAGAAGACCGTAAAGGAGAGCAGGAAGAAGTGCAGCAGGGAGGGCGTGGCGACACTGAGGGAGCGCGTGATGACCCCAAGGTAAGGCTGGAAGTCCATCACCTTGAGGAGGCGTGTCATCATGAAAAAGAGACTGGGTTTAAGGGAAACATGGAGAGGAACAAAGGAAAAGGGGAAGACATGAGGCGGGAAGGGCAGCACAAGCGAGGAAGTTAAAGTGTGGTGAATTGGATATGGATGATCAACCTGTGACGACAGGTAGACATGAGGAAGGAAAAAAGTTGAGTGAAAGGTCCGCTTTTTCTTTTTACTCGTCAAACGAGAATGAACACACACGACCACACACGCACGCACAACATGCACACACGCGCGCACGCACGCACGAACGCACGCATGCACACATGCACACACACACACACACACACACACACACACACACACACACACACACACACACACACACACACACACACACACAAAACACACGCTGAGGGCAAGGCGGCTCACTTGATGCCCTGGAGGGCGAAGTAGACGGCGCGGAGGTTGATGATGTTGCGCAGATCAGCGAAGGCCTGAGCGGCGCTGATGAAGCCCGTGGGCGGGTTGGGCACGGCCCAGTAGCGTGGCATCTCGAGCAGCGTGTAGTAGATGTCGTAGCGTGGCTGCATGTCAAATGCCTCCACGTACCGCCACAGCACCACCCTGAGCACACCAATGCACATGCACAAACGAACAATTGGAGGATGGTGAGCGAGGCGGATGAGCAGGGAAACATCCGAGAATGTTAAGGAAGGTGAAAGAATGTGGGAATGTGGGGAGGGTTGGACGGGCGGTGAGGAAGAAGCTGAGATGGCAGATGAGATGCTGAGCTCAGGATGCATTGTATGGCAAAGGCCTCCCCTCATACAGCTTGGCTGGTTCCTTACCAGATAACAACAGCAGTCACTTGCAGCGTGAGGGAGAGCATGTCCACCCAATTCCAGAAACAGCCAAAGTAGCTGAATACATAGCCATCCGTGGCGGCGCGGTCGGCCATCTCCTGCAGCTCGCCACACACATTCCAGAGCAGCCCCACCAGATACACCATCTCCAGCACCAGCCGTGCGATGTTGTCCGCCGATGCATCGTACATCGCCATGGCTGCCGGCTGTGACTTGAAGCTCACGTCCATGGCGCCCCCCGCGTTCACCTTGCAGGTCACAGTGGTCAGCACGAACGTGAGCGAGTCGCCTGGCAACGGGAGGAAGGTGGTGGATGCATGCCACGTGAGAGAAGGAGACACAACACACACATACACACACACACACACACGCACACACATACACACACACACACACACACACACACACACACACACACACACACACGTTCTAGCGGTTGAAAGCAAAGGCAAGTACCGTTGAAAGTAATGAAGCTGACGTCGACAGTGCGAGTGCCATTGTCGATGTAGCTTCCATCCACCAGGTAGTGCAGCCGACGCATGGCCGCCTCGTAGTCGAGATTGATGTCAAACACCAGCGGGAGGGTTGTGAGTGATGCCTGCGAAGATATTACAGTGCAAGAGAAATCATCACTAACAAGCGTGACTTAAGGCAGCAATATTAAATCCTCACAAACAAACAACTCATCCCTCACTCATTTCATGTAAGCTAGAATCATAATTTTGTGTTTGTATCAATATCTCAGTGTAGACATAGCCTTGAAGAATGGGTGATACGCACCAAGTCCACCCGCCATTGGAGATTGCATTGAACTCAATCTAATCCATGTTCCAACCCTTAGTTGACATTTTACGTTTACGGGGGTTTACGTGTACGTGACTTTACGTAGTAAACTTACGTTTACTTACGTGGGCCCAAAACAGCTTTACGTTTACGGTCAGCCAGAAACATTTCTGATTGCCCGGAAAGATAGGAAATCATCGGATTAAGCGGCTGCATGGGAAGCGCCTAATCAATCACTAGCTTGGTTCTTCTATGCCCAAGCATGTTTGACATTATTACATCAACTTACAGATGCCCCAAATCTACACCGACATGTCACAGCCTCTCCCACCTCATATCAGTCAGGTTTTTCCATTTCGCAGGCAAAAAAAAACTTTTTTGCCCTGCCCCTGCAACTTTACGTAATATTACGCGTAAGAAAACGTAAAGGTAAACTCAACGTAAGTTTACGCTTTACGTGACCCTAAAAAACGTAAAGTACCAACTAAGGTTCCAACCCAATCCAGCTCATTATTCACGCAGTGAAGGAGCTCTGAGTTGCAGCATCCAGCGAATCATTACACCACCCGCATAGCATAGGGTACGCGAGTACGTGGCAGTGATTTGCAAAGGCGAATTATGCAGAGCAAAATCGGGTGAAATGACTGACCATGGGGTAGATGAAGCCGTACGGGAGGCCCTGCGGGTTGAACTTCAGTTTGACGCCAAATGTGTTGTTGTCGAGCTGGCTCATGTTGGCGCTGGCAGCGCTGTCGTAGATGGCCGACGTGGGCAGGAAGTGCGGGTTCACTCCGAACGGTTCCAAGGACGTGCCGTTGCTGCACCACCCCGCCAGGTGCAACAGCCTGGGGAGGGAGGGGCGGTGTGAGGGAGATTGGGTGGATTGGGGGATTTGGAGTGGTGCAGCTGTGTGAATGGAGGATATGAAGAGCAAGTGGTGGCTGCACCAACAGCAACAGGATCAGGCGAGTATCACGAAAGCCTGGCAAGTCACACCTCATTCATTAGAGCCACTCACCCCATTGACCGGAGCCACTCACCCCATTGACCGGAGCCACTCACCCCATCCACCAAAGGCACTCACCCCATCCACCAAAGGCACTCACCCCATCCACCAAAGGCACTCACCCCATCCACCAAAGGCACTCACCCCGATCCGTTGCAGTGCTGCGTGCCCCACCGATCCTGCTGCAGCACCATGCCGATCAGCAAACTGCCACGAACAAGGGTTTCAGGGGGGACGGCAAAGGGATATAACAGAGGATGCTGATCTTGGTGGGGAGCAGATGCTCTGATGGGCCAAGGAAAGCTGACGGAACAATGACGCCGCATGGGTGTGTGCAGCCTGCGGTGCCTCTCTAAGGGGTCCAGGACGGTGTTGATTGAAACAAGTGTGGCAGCTGGCAGGGCAGGCGTGGCAGGGCAGGGAGGCACGGGGCCGTACCGATTGTGGCGAGACACGTAGCGGTTGACAGCAATGCCCCTCTCAGCCGCGAAGGCATGGTTGCTCTCTGTGTAGTTGGGGCCGTAGCGCTGCAGTGAGAAGGGGAAGTTGAGATTGGCTCCCACCGCCGTGGATAGACAACACGCTGGGGAGGGGGAGGGAGGAGGAGGGAAGGAGGAAGGGGGAAGGGGAGGAGCATGAGGAAGAGAGAGCAGGGACGGTAGGACGAGGAGTTTATTGAATGAAAGCACAAGCCAGGAATCAGTAAGAGTGAAGAGAGAATAGGAAGCAAGCCAGAGAGGCGGGTGGAGAATGGGAGAGGGGTGACTGACAGCCGTCGTCGTGGCGGGTGTGGCCCGGGGGACAGGAGCAGATGCCGGGGCCAAAGAGCGGGTCGACACACGCGCAGTCGCCGCCGTCAAAGGCGCACGCCGGCGTGTTGCACGCCGCATCGCACACCCCGTTCGCCAGCCGCCGCAGCCGGCACCCCGGCGAGCACTCGTCGGTTGCGGCGGCGGCGGCGGTGGCGGTGGAGGCAGAGGGGGAGGAAGAGGAGGAGGGGGAAGAGGAGGGGGAGGAGGAGGAGGTGGTGGTGGTCGAGGGCGTGATGGTGCTGGCGGTTGTGAAATGTGCGGTGCTGGAGAGAGTGCTGCTGTCAGTGGCATGCACACCACCTGCCATGCATGCATTGCATGCACGGGAGGGATGGCGACGCGGAATGGATGCAATACGGGCGGGTCGGGGAGAATGCAGGAAGATGGAATGGTGAGGATGAAAGAGAGGAAGAAAGCACAGTGGCATGCAGTATGGCACAGAGACTGCCAGACTGCCACGCAACATCGCACGCATGGCATGTTGTGCAGCATGGTATGCAGTACGAAATGTGGTTTGGCATGGCATGGCATGTGGTATGGCATGGCTGGTGGTATGGCATGGCATGGCATGTGGTATGGCATGGCATGGCATGTGGTATGGCATGGCATGTGGTATGGCATGGCATGTGGTATGTCATGGCATGTGGTGTGGCACGCATGCTGGGCTCACCAGCAACCTCAGCTCCTGCTCGTGCAGGCAGCACAGTGAGAAGCGACACATCAGAGGAGGAAGAGGAGTCGTCGAGCGAGAGAGTGCCGTCCTCGTAGTGGATCGTAAGGGGCTCGTAAAACACCTTGCTGTATGCAAAGGAGCCGGGGGACTCGTCGTCCATCCCTGGTTGGAGGGATTGCGGGAGGAGCAGGAAGGAGTGGAGCACAGTGAGAGGATGACTGGTGTGAGAGGATGACTGGTGTGAGAGGATGACTGGTGTGAGAGGATGACTGGTGTGAGAGGATGACTGGTGTGAGAGGATGACTGGTGTGAGAGGATGACTGGTGTGAGAGGATGACTGGTGTGAGAGGATGACTGGTGTGAGAGGATGACTGGTGTGAGAGGATGACTGGTGTGAGAGGATGACTGGTGTGAGAGGATGACTGGTGTGAGAGGATGCAGCAGCAGAGTGAGATGGTACTTCCTAGGCCGCCATGGTAACTTCATACAGCTCAGCTTCGCAGGAGGTGTCACACGCGCTACGAGTAAAGAGGTAGTTGTTTTGAGCTTTGAAGGAAGCGGACAAGTTCAGATTCAGTTCGGCTTCAACTCAAAACACGTTTGAGGTGGTGTGTTGCTCATGCCTACCACCCCTTACTGAGCAGTGAGCACACCCCCACTCACTCAACACGCATGGCTGCGGTTCTTCAACGGTGTCCCCCGCGCCCACGTTCATGTGCGTGCATGTCAGCAGGCGCGACACGACCAGACGGTTCCCTCCAAAGCCCAGAAACAGTGGGTCCTCTGCCTCACCCATCGCTGCCACTGATGGTGGTGGCAGTGGAGCAAGAGAAAGAAAGTACTGGGGAATCAGGAGCGCAGGCAAGTAAGTAAACCGCGGAGTCGCGGAGCAGAGCCAAAGCCAATAGATAAGAGAATCAGTGCAAAAGGTGCGGCGTAGGTTACACTCAAGAGCCAGTGGCACCAATGAAGGTGGTAGCGCTGTGTACCTTTGAGGGAGTGTGGGAGGTCGTCATCCCACACCCAGGTGACCTTGTCGCCCACATGGATGGTCGTGTTGTGCTTCACACCCGCCCGCCACGGCAACCACGCACCGCCTGAAGGGAGACAGAAATTGGAGGAGGAACCGCGGCAGTCAAAATGATTCGTTTAATTGAGGTGCCTACACCCATCCATCCACTGCATGTACACCTACGTCACAGACACATGCACATGCACATGCACATGCACATGCACATGCACTCACCACCCAAACCACCGGGCATGAGCACCCACCTTGAGAGCAGCCGACAGCGTCGGAGGTGGCGATGGCATCATCAAAGGAGTGCATGAGCGTGTTGAGACGCGCCGCCGCCGCATCTGAAATGAGTGTCACGGACCGCAGCGCCGCCGCCACCGTCTGCACGAAGCGCCGCATGTGCTGCGCTGAGATCACGCGCCCGCCCCTCACATGCGTGCTGCGCAGGTACACATACATGTCCGAAATAGACAACACTTGCCGCCCTGCTGTATCCGTGAGGCGGCACTCATCCAGCGTCGTCACAGGTCCACCCAGCATGGTGCAAAAGCACGCCACCATGTTCCACCGCAGGCTGCCCGGGCCTCCCTGTGAGTGCTTCCTGTTCGCTCCCGGCCCGTGGCCTGCAAGGCACTGATCCTTGGTCACTGTGAAGAGGGCTCGCGACACCGCCACCTGCAGCGCTGTCAGTCGCTGGCGGTCCGTGGCGCCTAGGAGCGACCAGAGGGAGGGCTCTGAGGGGTCTGCTGCGGCTGCTGTTCCCGAAGCTGCCATCGCAGCGGCTGCTGCTGCTGTTGCTGCCGAACCTGTTGGCATTGCTGCTGCTGCTGGTGATGGTGGTGCTGACGCTGGGGTCACTTCAAATCTCTGTGTTTCCAGCGGGTGCGCTTCTGCGAGGGCCGTGGAAGCAGCAGAAGCCGACGCAGCAGGAGAGTCGACGGCAGGGGCAGCGAGAGAATGCACTCCAGCAGCAGCGGGCAGGGAGGAGGTATCAAGGGGGCCAGGGGCAGTGGAGGCAGGCCAGCGATCATAGCTGTGGGAGTGGTGGAAGCGGTAGAGCGCCTGAGAGCAGAGAGCAGCCATGCACCACGGATTTTGGGGGAATGGGTAGGGGAGGAGAGGTTGGGAAACAGAGGCTGTGAAAGACTGAATGACAGAGTTAGCGGCGAGATGACTGCAGGAGCAAGCAACTGGAGATGTGAGCGCCGCAGTGAGGAGGGGAGAGCGACAGCGAGCAGCCGGGAAACAGCATTCACAAGAGGAAACACACAGAGCGAGGGATAACAAGCGAGACAGGCGTAGAGGGATGGCATAAATAGGGGAGCAGGTCACCTTGCGACGGTTGCCACCAGATATATGATCGGCTGGGTCTGAGCCTGGGATGGGACGCAAACAGAGGGATGTAGTGAGGGGGGTTGCGGCGTGCAAGGAGGGGAGGGGTGAGGCACTCAGTGTCACGAAACGTATCAGCAGAGGCAGGGAGCGACACGCAGAGGCAGGGAGCGGCACGCAGAGGCAGGGAGCGGCACGCAGAGGCAGGGAGCGGCACGCAGAGGCAGGGAGCGGCACGCAGAGGCAGGGAGCGGCACGCAGAGGCAGGGAGCGGCACGCAGAGGCAGGGAGAGGCACGCAGAGGCAGGGAGCGGCACGCAGAGGCAGGGAGCGGCACGCAGAGGCAGGGAGCGGCACGCAGAGGCAGGGAGCGGCACGCAGAGGCAGGGAGCGGCACGCAGAGGCAGGGAGCGACACGCAGAGGCAGGGAGCGGCACGCAGAGGCAGGGAGAGGCACGCAGAGGCAGGGAGCGGCACGCAGAGGCAGGGAGCGGCACGCAGAGGCAGGGAGCGGCACGCAGAGGCAGGGAGCGGCACGCAGAGGCAGGGAGCGGCACGCAGAGGCAGGGAGCGGCACGCAGAGGCAGGGAGCGGCACGCAGAGGCAGGGAGCGGCACGCAGAGGCAGGGAGCGGCACGCAGAGGCAGGGAGCGGCACGCAGAGGCAGGGAGCGGCACGCAGAGGCAGGGAGCGGCACGCAGAGGCAGGGAGCGGCACGCAGAGGCAGGGAGCGGCACGCAGAGGCAGGGAGCGGCACGCAGAGGCAGGGAGCGGCACGCAGAGGCAGGGAGCGGCACGCAGAGGCAGGGAGCGGCACGCAGAGGCAGGGAGCGGCACGCAGAGGCAGGGAGCGGCACGCAGAGGCAGGGAGCGGCACGCAGAGGCAGGGAGCGGCACGCAGAGGCAGGGAGCGGCACGCAGAGGCAGGGAGCGGCACGCAGAGGCAGGGAGCGGCACGCAGAGGCAGGGAGCGGCACGCAGAGGCAGGGAGAGCCAAGGACATATCAAGTGGACAGACTGCCACACTCAGTGAAAGGAGCGCATCTGAGAGAAGCTGGTATGGGGAATGAAGGGAAGGATGTGCATGATGGGGGCATGGGATGCTGCCTGGCGCATGCAGTTAGTGCATACCTGAAACGTTGCAGGGGGTGTTGGCAAACAATGATGCGATATCCGGCTGAAGAGATTAGGCGAAAGGGCATTGGAGAGGGAGTGGTGTAGCAGGGGAAAGGGAGAACCAAGAAAAGTGGGCTCAAGTGATCAGATGAAAAAAGGACGGGGCAGAATGGAAAAGGAGACGCAATGGGGCAGGGATGCGGTAACATGGTGCATGGCAGGTGGTTGTGCGGACAATATGAGGGCGTATCTCTCAGTTCGGGTCATGAGCACTGTTCATTCTACTGTTTGGGTCACGCATGACCCAAAGTGGGCTCCCAAAGCACCCGCGATCCCAGCTTTGGGTCAATGTGCAACTTCTATGCGACTGACGTCCACGATCCGCCCCCCACCAATCCGAACACTGTGTGACCCCATCTTGGGGCCCCTACTTTAGACGGTCGTCAAAACAGACTCACCCCCGTCAATCTCCCAACTACAGCACATAGCAATTTTACAGTCGGGTCTGTGGTTGGGTCCAGTTTGGGAGCCGCGCAGATCTACATTTGAGATTTTCCCCCCGGAATTTAGACGGCTGGGAATGTGGCGTTAGTGTCGCGCAAAGTGGGGCTCGACAGCGCGCGAAATGTTTTGGCTTCCCGCCATCGGTCGCGGCTGGTCTTAGGCGGGCGATTTTGCATAACGACGCGCGGCGGCACTTTGAGGGTCGCATGAGATCGGATGACCCCCAAGGCGGCGTTTTGAGCTGTTTGGGTCATGCGGAAATCGCGCATCACCCAAAGTGGCCTTATGGCCCGAACTGAGATACGCCCTGAATAGTATTGGAATCACGAGACATGGGATGAGCAGGGATGCATGCGGCACCGCAACATGGAGCTGGAAGCGCACCGTGGGGCAGGAAGCATTCGCATAGGAGGTGATGGAAGAAGGTGCAACGATGCACATGCGCGCACAGTCCACGAACGCCCCTGCCACCTCCCTCTCCGTGAATGCTCGCCCACAGGTTGCTGGCAGGCAGACCACCAGCCTTGCACACGTCTGCATGTAAACACACATGCACGCACGCACACATGCGTGCACGCATACAGTCAGTGGGATTGGCATCAACTGTGACCAATAGCATGCACAGACTCATCTTGGGAAGACGCCAGAAGAGATTAGAGGAACGCCCACAGCGGTAGCACAGGAGCAGCGGCATGCTCACATCACGACAGATGTCGGGCGAAGCACCGGCAGCACTGCCACCTGGCTGCGTCTGATTGGTGGACGCAAGGCCATCGTCGAGAGAGCAGGACCCCCACGCGGCGAGCTCAATGGTGGAGGCGGCGCCGACGACGGAGAGGCGGCGCGTGCCGGGAGGGGGCGCGTGCACGGTGCCGCGGATGCCCCCCGCGGGCGCGATGAGCACCACCACCCAGTCGCCGTCCGGAATGTCCACCGCCACTGACACTTCTGACTCGCCACGCGGAAATGGCTGGAATGCCTCGTACCTGATTCACCCACATGGGCACCACGCATGGGGTGGCGTGGAGTAGGGTGTGGGATAGGGTAGCATGAGTAGAGTACACAGGACAGAACGGCAAGAAGAGCAGAGAGAGGCAGGAGGACGGAACATGCAAAGAGAGGGCGAGCATACCAGCAGAGGGAGACTGGGTCGACCATGCAGAGGTTCCAGGAAGATTCGTCCGCAGCCTGTTGGGTGTCAAGGTGCGAGGAGAATCTGATGATCACGGAGGTGAGGTTGGGGAACGTGCCGCAGTCTGCCTCGCAGCCAAAGCGGCCAAAAGCGGGGAACTGGAATGGCCGGTCGCACGAGCCGTCGCCACATGTGGGGTCCGCCCACAGCGTCTGCAGATGAGGCAGGAAGAGGGGGAGGGGCAGTGAGGTGGGAGAGACGAGGGGACGAGCTGTGCGCGTGCGTGCGGGCCGTGATGCGGGCAAGAGAGAGGTGTGATGCGGCATGGGCATGGGTAGGCGGGCCGGTGGGGCAGGTTTGGATGTGCGGAGCAGGGGCCAACACACGGCAGGTGCAGGAGGAGCGATTATGCAGAGACGAGCGGCAGAGGAGCGCACCTGCACGATGCTGGTGTTGAGCCAGCTGTAGAAGTCATCCGGACCGTTGAAGGTGTTGGAGGCGTCCTGACTCATGCCCTTCTCTCAGGTGGGGAGAGGCGCAGGCATGCAGGGCGGAGGGAGACGACAAGTGACTGGGAGGAGAGGCGGCAATAGTGGAGGGAGCTAGGCAAGAGCATAGAGAGAGTTTTAATGCACGTTGGATTTCATGCGTGCTATATTAAACGCGCGCTGGATTAAAAGGGCTCTAAAATGCGCGGTAGGTTGAATGCGCGCTAGAAATAATGCGCACTATATTGAATGCGCGCCCAATTGAATGCGCGGAAGAGGGAGGGAGCAGCGGAACGGAAGTAGGGAGCATACAGGCGGGTAGAGGGCAGAGGCGAGGAGAAGGAACGCGTGCAGAGAGCATACGGGGGGAAAGAGCACGGCATGCGCGGAGGTAATTTCGTAGCTGCGGGAGGAGTCGGCCTGGAGGTAGAGGATGGTGATGAAGAGCGCCATGAGCACCACGAACCCGCCCAGGTCGCGGTAGTGCTGCACGCGCTGCTGCAGCGCCACCACGCGCACGAACGCCTCTGGCACGCGCGCAAAGGGAGGGGGGAAGGAGGGGAAAGGGCGTCACGGGGAGTTGAGGCAGTTATGAGCAGCAGCGAGAACGGTCCAGGTGGCGCGAAACGCCCAGCAGTCAAGCACCGCTCTGAACCTGCGCGCACCTTGCAGCACCTCTCTGTCCATCTCGTCCATCTCCGCGTCCTGCAGGGTGACATCGCTGGCCGAGCGCGCCAAGCCGTCAAGCGCGCCGCGCGCCATGGTCTTCCCCGTCGTATCCTCCGTCAAGCTGCGCTTCAGCGGACCCCCCCCGGCGGTCGCCTTCCCCTCTCCGCCCTCCGCGCCATCCTCGCTATCCGCGCCATCCGCGCCATCCGCGCCATCCGAGCAGCTCTCGTCGGCGCTCGTGCTTGACCGCCTGATCTTCTTGCGGCAATACTGCAGGAACCCGCGCAGCCCCTTCTCATCCTCCGCTGCGCTCTCGTGACTGCTTGTGCTGCTGCTGTTACCGCTGCTGTCCCGCGCTCCCCTAGTCTTCAAACCAGCTCCGCAAACTCTCCCTTTCTCCGTCAACCTCTCGGCCGCTCCGCAATTCCCCCCCAAGTCCCCGTCGCCGCCGCAACCCTGCTCGTCCGCATCTCTCTCTGCGACCTGATTGAAGGACGAGCTTTTTTCGACACGTGTCATGAGCTCCGCATTTTGCGGCGCGAATCCATAGCTATCGAGGAAATCCAAGTTGTGCTGCTCATTGCTGCGAGACCCCGAAGCCTTGCGCCTTTCAATGGCGGAGGCGGAGGGCGGAAGAGTTCGAAATTGGCGGAGCGGAAGGGAAAATACAACTTGGTTTTCATGAAAACTGGAACGTGCACTACGGAGACAACAATAAAAACTCGTAATTCAACATCTATAGGTAACGCAAGTAACGCCATTTCCAGCTCACTATGCTGCATCCGTGGTAACTAGCCTTCAGGCAAATGTGATCCTCGGCTCACCTGGAAAAAGCGTCGGACTTGGATCGAGCCCACATGCGGTAGTTGGCCGCCTCATACGCGTCGAACTTCTCGTCCAACAAACTCTCCGACCGCGTTAGCACCGGCCCTTCCCTTTCGCCATTCGCCGCCGCCTTCTTCTTCGCGCGCATAACTGCGACCGCCTCCGCCATGATCGCTACTACGGCGAGAGGCAAGAAGCAGGCGTGCTCGCTCGAAATTCAGCTACGGCAGGGCTAGAAACTTTCTAAGCCGCAACTACCTAGGGTTCTGAGTGCGGTTGGTAGCAATAGGATACGCCAGGAGGATGGTACAGGGAGGGTGTCGCGGTGCAAAACTGAAGACTGAGAGGGTGTCTCGAAATGCGGAGAGAGTGAAGTGAACCGTCGGATGCTGGTCCAAACCCTGACAGTCCAGCTCTCTCGACATATTTTGAGCTTTCTCGACGTCCCCACCCAACTTGAGACACCCCTCCAGTGATGGAAGGGAAGTATGCGACGACAGAAGCATGGGTGGGAGTCATAAGTACACCCTGTTTCTCACTACTATGAACTGTGCCGAACTGGTGGAAAACCTAGTTACCTTCGATCTGTCTGATTGAACCATACCAAGACTTCATCTAACCACTGTTAACCGTGCTTTTCCCATCTTGACTTCACTAAAACCGGATTCACAATGGCGAGAAAGAGGGTGTAGCATTGGACGGGAGCGACGGGAATCACGCAGGGGACGCCAAAATAAAGCTATGATCTACATCACAAGTTCCGAAACCCCAGCCGACTTGGTTGGGCATCCAAAAATGGGTTCTCGGGACGTTTTGGGTGGGGAGGCACCCAGACAGAGATCTAGGCCAGATTCACCCTGTCACTGCACTGTGCCAAGTAAGGCACCGTGGGCTGCGTTGCTTGGGATCACTGATTGCAGTTCCGCAACAACAGTGCTGCCTGACTCGGGGCCCTGAGGGATGCTGTTTTCGCCTGCGCCTATTCCAGTGGGGCGAAGGCTGGCGACTGTTCGATCTGTAAGTAGCCGACTAACAATGTCGGGAAAACGGGTGTACAAAAAGGGGTACTTTGCCCTTTCTGTTATCTCTCCGCCACACGTTTCCTGACAAAGGGGGACATGTGTACAGTATTGTACAAACTGGACCCCTTTCACACTTGTCTGATTACAGTGCAGTGGCAGGTGTACAGTTGCTGAATTGTTCTTATGGGTGGACTCACTTGTCTTGTCTGTACAGTGGCAGGTGTCTTGTCATAAGTGCGTGTCCAGCTCGTTCATTTCGGGAAATCTAGTACCTCCTCACGATCCGGGGTTCAAAACTGAACACTGTACCTATAAACGAACGTGCCTTGCTCGAGTCCACCCTTTCTGTCATTCTGGCGCGCGGACACCATCCCCCCACACAGACTTCAACAGTGCAGGGGCCATGTGGCAACCAGGGTAACCAGTTCCCTCGTCAACCAAAGCGTTAGAATTTTCGCCAGGCCAACACTTCCACTATAGGTTTTGGCGAGTGTCAGGCGGCACATGCGAAATCAAGCGCGCGATATGATGGGCACTCACTGTAGTGGGCAGGACGCGGTTCTGTACCATTGTTCGATGCGCATGCTGATTCCTGTAACGTGCGTCACACGATTCGAGGTACGTGCAGGGGGTGTGCCGTATAGTGAACGGGAGCTGATCGTGTCTGGCATTTTTGTAAAACTCAGTGTTACAACGCAAATTGTGGTAACGGAAGGGCTTTACGAACAGTAAATGAACGAGCTGGACACCCCCTAAGGGCTCTTTACTTGCATGTAAGTCTTCTCAATATACCGTGTAACATGCTGGTTATGCAGATTCCTGTAAAAACATGTGCTCACCACTACGCATCTATCTTCAGATCGGAAGCCTGACTTCCTCAACTTAAAAAACAGAATGGAACTTGAGCAGAGCATAGTTCGTGTGAAAAGATCCTGACAATTTATTTGCGAAAATATACGTAATCACTACTGGTACAGGATGGTTGTGAAGTGAGGCCTTATTGGCCAACCTAGAAGCACTAACAAATCATGATCTACACGCGGAAGGCTGTCCTTCCGCTCCTATAAGTGTATCATAATTTAGTGCTGTGCGCGCTTGGTGCAGCAGAGACGGGGACAGATTTGTAGTAGGAGGGGCAGACAGCTGGGAAGAAGACTCGCCGTACACCCTCCGCCTTGATGATTGGCACTATCAGCTGAACAGCTCCCTGCAGGCACAGCCATAACCACAAGCAGAGAGGAGGGGAGGAGGTGGAGAGCGAGAGGGGGGAGGGAGCTTAGGTCATAACACAGCAAAGCCTTAGTTGATCACATGGACGCATCGCACAGGTGCACGGATGAGGGTCATGGGCCGCAGCATTTCACGAGCTGCAGAACGAGCCTGGTTCGTACCGAACCTAACGCGCACGAGCATCCGTACCTGTATCAAGCGTGCGCCAAGCCAGACGCGGCCGGGCTTGGGAAGGGGGAGGAGGAGGCGGGCGAGGGCAAAGAAGGCGACGGCGAAGAAGTGCAGCACGAGGCTCAGCGGCTGCGGGTTGAGCCCCGAGAGCAGCGAGATGGGGCCCTCGGAGCACGCCCCGCCCAGCTGCAGGTAGTCGAAACACGCCTGCAGGTCAGGGGGGAAGAAACATAGGTTGAGTGGCAGGGGTGTGGGGATGGGAGGGGTAGACGTTAGAGAGTGCTGTGGGTTTGGTGGGCTGGCATAAATGCTGCTGATTGAGTGGGTATGGTGCAGTGAGGTGACGGACAAGAGGCAGGGAGCTGTGGCAGCAGCAGAAAACATGGGTGACAGTAATGTGGCTACGAGTAGTGCCACTGGAGGGTGCGAGGGGGGGAATGCGTGGCAACATTGTCCTTTAGAAAAGCTTCGCGTCAAATCTTCGCACCCATGATCTTTCATCGAACGCCAACTTTGTACGCAGCTACGCTCAGCAGTGGAGGGCGTGGAAGGGTAGGTGTGGAAAGGGAGGCAGGCTTACCTGGCGCATGGCCATCATGGCCTCGTCCTTGGAGGCACAGAAGACTCTGTAGAGCGCGATGGAGAGCGTGTTGATGGTCGCTGCTATGGGCTGCATGGCACACATGGGGTGCACACAGGGCACATGGGGTGCAGGGCACATGGGGTGCAAGGCACAGGGAATATTGTGTTAGCACAAGCTTAGTGGGTTGTGGGCGCGAGAAGTTGTTCGCACGAGCAAGAATCAGCTACACGCTTTGCGCTTCCATACCACGCACCATCGCATGCTGACGACAACACATTCCATCACACACAGCATGAAACCCCGAGCCAGCCACTGACACACCAACACGCTGAAGCACACAGACAAATTGCACAGACGCGACGCACCTTGCGGCGCGTGTAGAAGGCCTCGGCGTATTCACAGACCGCCCGCGTGTTGCGGAAGTCCTTGAGCGGCCGTAGGATCTGAGTCAGCACTGACACGTCAGACAGAGCCACTGTCATGCCGCCACCTGTCATTGGGGGAATCAGGCAAGCAACCAGAGACAAGCAGTGAGGCAGAGGGGGACGAGCGCATGGGTGTCATTGGGACGCAATTGCGTGGCGCCAGGACGAAGAGGCACATGGGAGAGAGCGGGTGGCGCATTTTCCCTAAGAGCAGCATGTGATAGAGTGGGCGCGGAAGCACCGGACCTGCGAGCGGGTGGCGCATGTTACCCGCGAGCGGGTGCCACGTGTTACCTGTGAGCGGGTGGCGCATGTTGAAGGCATCCCCCATGAGCAGCGCGCCGGGACGGGTGACGGGGACAGCTGGCATGATGCGATTGGGCATGCAGCGAATGTCGCCCGCCCGCACCGCCTCTCGGAAAGGCCCCTGCAGCTGCTTCGGTAGCTGGGGGGTTGGGGAGGGAAGGCGGGGAAAAGGGTGGTGAGGGCCGCGGGGATGGTGAGGAGGTGAGTGAGACCAACACGAGGTGAATACGGGTGCTGAGGCGAGCCAGGGAAGGGAGAGGCGCATCAACGGAGAGGATTGGCGTGAAACGAGCAGAATTGTGCGAGAGAGAAGCGCGGAGGCAGGAGAGAAGAGGGTAGAGGAGGGGAGGGGAGGGGAGGGTCGGGCAATGGTGGGGAGGGGCATGCGGGTCGTACCTGCGGGAGGACGGCGGAGAGGAGGTAGTCCGCCATGTCGCCCGAGGCGATGGAGGGCACTTTGGTGCCCGCGGGGATGTCGACGAGGCAGCGCACCTCCGTGCTGCTGACGGGGTAGAAGAGCACGGGCGACGGGTCCGCCAGCACCACGTGCCCGTAGTTGGGGTGCGGCAAGGGGCAGTCGCGCAGCAGCAGCCCCACGAACGACGACGGCACGTCCACCTGCCAGGAGGAAAGGGGAGAAGGGGGAAGCGCGTACGACGGAAGAGAGGGAGATTGAGCTAGGAAAGGGGCGCTGATGGGTCGGAAGCGCTTGGCGGAGAATTGTGGCAGGAAGAGTGTTGGGACGGAGTGGAGAAGCGAGAGGCGAGGGGCGAGGAGGCGCGCGCACCTTGGATTTGGAGATGGAGCGGCGGAGGTTGGAGAAGCAGCCGTCGCACACGAACGTCAGCGGCGCCAGCATCTCGCCCTCCTCCGTCTCGCCCTTCCCGCCCACCGCGCTTGCTTCCCGCACTTCGCCCAGCGCGCTGCCCGGCACGCGCTTGGCGGCGCGGTAGCGCACGCCCGTGACGCGGTCGCCGTCCTCCAGCAGGCCGAGCACCGTGGCCTCTCTCAACGTCACTCTGCGCGCATCGCACCGTCGGGTGGGGTGGATAGAGGCCGCGGAGGAAGATGCGGGAGAAGCAGAGCATAAGCAGGGGAGAAATGAGGCGTCCTGCTCCATTGTGCGTTCCGCCAGCGCATCAATTCCCTAAGATGACTCGTTCCGTGTGCCAAGCAAAGCGAATCTCACGGCCTTGCATCGATCCGCCATCCCCTCGCCCCTGCCCACGTAACCGCCCGACCCCTTCTTTCTTGCAGCAGATACTTCTCAACCTAACCCCGGCCTGATCAGCCGCAGCCCCGGCCTTAACAGAAGTAGTCCCAGCGACATCAGCCGTAGCCCGGGCCTCATCAACCATAGCCTCGACTGTTCCCATTCCCGCACTCACGTGGGCAGCGATGCCGCCTTCTCGCGCAGCCGCTGCACGAACCGGCCGTTGTGGAACCCCCGCCCCGCCACCTTCCACATCTCCTCGCCCGCCGCGCTGCCCGCCGAGTCGAGGCGGTGGCCCGCGAAGAGCATGTGCAGCTGCGCCGTGGAGAGCGTGGGGTACGACACCTTGCAATCGCCGCCGTCCATGAAGAGCGCGTAGCCGTCCACGCGCTGCGCGTCGATGCCGTCCACGCAGTCTGCGCACACACGGGCGCCACGGCGACGTGAGCGGCGGCAGCAAATTAAAGCGCAGAGACATGGCTGAATCAAGTACCGCGCAATGTGAGGGGAGGGGACACCTGATCTTGAGGTACCTTGGACGAACAATGACTACCTTCGTATGGCGCAGTCCCAGCGACGTACCTTGCATGCCCAGCTCGACGAGCTTGAGATAGCCGCCGGGCTGCAGCAACTCGCCCACGATCCGATCCGGCTCCGACAGATCCCTCTCCAACACCAGCACTCGCCGCCCCGTCTGCCGCACAGCATTGCACAGCACCACGTACAGGTCACATAAGGAAAGGGGAGCTTGAGAAATGCCCAAGGATTTGACATCAGGTGGTTACAGTTAATGTGATTTGACGATCAGGTTAGGAAATGGGTCGCGCCTGACCTTTCCGAGGGAGTAAGCGAGCGCGCATCCCGCAATGCCTGCGCCGACCACCAGCGCGTCGTACTCCTCCTTGCCACCGCTCCCCATGCACGCGTCGTCGCTGGTCTGCTCCGCGGAGCTGCTCTGATCTACTCGCGCATCGTGTCGCCCGGCGTCAGTTAGTCTCTCCAGCGGCATTTCTTCTAGCGGCGTGGCACTAGCGAGCGCATCTCTTTGTTTGTCGCGGGAGTATTGCATCGAGATGTACGTGGCGGCTATTAGCAGGGCTAGCGTCCACGCTAGCGTGACCGTGCCGATCCCGTCCACCACGCTCCAAAACGACGCCGTCAGCGACGACATATCCGCCATTGCGCGCGGACACCTCACGCTCTCGGATATAGCGGTAAGTAGCTAGTGCTTCACGAACACGGGATTGTCCGCGTAACTGGTGTGCCAGAAGAGCATAGGAAGAGAAGAATTCTTCTGTGTGACGCAGTCTACCTGAAGGTAGCCAGCATTGCCTGCGGGTAAAAAGCCAGTCGCTAGTGGGACTGGACCAAGCAGACAAGGGTTGAAGGAGGCTGGGGGGAAGAGATCTAAATTTCCTCAGCGGGGTACCACAAATGTATAGGGGCTGGTCGGGAAGGCCTGGTTTTGCGCGCCAGCACATTTCTGGGGATTGAGTTCAGCTGGAATCGACGGCGTAGAGCACGAGTGCCTTCGCTTTGTGGCACATGGCTCCTTGTAACTCGTTAAACAGCTGGCGGGAAACTGGGTGGTGAATCGGGGTCAGGAGGGGAACGGGGGAAAGTCTCACACGTAAATCCCCTGGTAGATTCAGCCGCACAATGGGAGCCAATGCCATCCATCGCTGCTGGCACGTGTGGCGCGAATATAAAATAATCGAACCTTCTGAACTCAAGCCAACGCAAGCCAAGATCCAAGGACGCGTTCTTTCTGCTGCAATTATTCACAGACACTCCAATTGAGCTCGGGCAACTGATGAGTGTCGGTTTGTGTGTCGGTAATTGTAAACATTGCCTAGGCTGCGTTGCCGCTAAATTTGAAAAAGGCTTACGAGTTCGATGATCAACTCGACTTCCAAAGGAATCCAGTGAGGCTCATTCTAGCGCGGATGTTATATGGCTGGAAGCCATTTGTGGGGAACGCCTTGTGTGAGCGTAGGGGTCTGCTTGTTCGCCCTCGTCTTAGTTGCTCACCCTAACTACCCGGTACTAGTCGGTCCAGATATAGATTTGTGCCAGATATAGTCACGTCGCATGCTTTCGCGTCTCAAAGCGTTTTGGTCCTTCATCTTGTGTGCCGAGTAGGACCTTTGCGATTATCGAAAGCCCCAATGGCGGCAGCACCACAGCACGTGGACGGCGTGCATCCACCCGCACCAGGCTCCGGAGATCGTGACGTGGACCACACGCAGTCCTCAATCCCGGCCGTAGGTTCCGCTGAAGGCGTGGTTCCAGGGTTGCCGGTGGCGAGCAGTGACGGAAACGGAATTTTAGCTGGTAACGTCAACGGAGACGGAGGCTTAGGCACAGACGGAGGGATGGACGGAGGCGGCGGAACGACGGGTTTGGAGGATCAGACGACGGGCGGGGACCAGAGCGTGGCGACGCCGATGACGGAGCGGAAGCGGGAGAAGCAGATGGAGGTGTTCGTGGGCGGGCTGGACAAGGACGCGTCGGAGGAGGACGTCAAGCGCGTCTTCGGCCGCGTCGGGCAGATTGCGCACGTGCGCCTTCCGCGCGACTCCGCGACGGGGCGCAACAAGGGCTACTGTTTCGTACAGTACGCCACTGAAGGCGCTGCGCGCCGAGCTGCCTCTGAACTGGACCGAATACTTGTACGCGCCAGTCGTTGTTAGGTTTCAGACTTTACTTCGTCGGAGCCTGTGACTTCCGTTGTGGCCGGTCTACAGCAACACCCGTTCTGCTCTGCCCTGTTATCAAGTTTGTTGGTCGCTCTCGCCTTTTTCTTACCTTCCTCCTATAACGTGACACGTGGCACGTGGAGGGCGCGTGTGCAGGTGCGGGGAAGGCCGGTGGGGGTGTTGGGCGGCGAGCAGGAGGACACACTGTTCATCGGGAACATCAACAAGACGTGGTCCAAGGCCAAGGTCAGTCATGTTACAGGATTCACAAGCGCTCGTCCACACTCAACCTCCCTGTGGCTTAGCGGCAATGTGCTCGGGGCGGCGGAACATAGAAGCGATGTTTAGGGTTGTTGTCCTTCGAGGCGTCATGCATTTCGTTTCATTTCATGTACCTGCCCAAAGCTGTTTGATTCACCTTATTCGCTTCTCATTGCAATCGTTTGCAATCCCCTCCGTCCCCGTCTGCCGTGTGCTGTGTGCGCGCCATGGGTGGCAGATAGAGGCGGTGCTGGCGGGGGCTGGCGTGGGGGCGTGGGAGGCGCTGACGTTCATGGAGGACCCGCAGCACGCGGGGCACAACCGCGGCTTCGCTTTCCTCGAGTTCGCCTCGCACCGCGCCGCCGCTGCTGCCAAGCAGCGCCTGCAGCAGGCGGACGTGAGCCTGGGCGTGGACCGCCCGCCCCGCGTGTCGTGGGCCGCGCCCCTCAACGAGCCCGACCAGCGCGTCATGGCGCAGGTGCGTGGGGGCATGGGCGCAGGTGCGTGCGGGCGTGGCGCAGGTGCGTGCGGGCATGGCGCAGGTGCACGGTGGTAGGCATGGCGATGGTAGGGATGGCGCAGGTGCGTGGACGGCGATTGCAGGCATGGGATGCTGCTGATGGAAGTTGTTGTTGTGTCCTTTCATGTCAATGCGCCCCTATCGCTGTGCATTTGTCATCATCCCCCTGGCACCCGCTACCTCTCTCACCCGCGTGTCTTCTCTCCCCCGCCCGGCAGGTGAAGAGCATTTTCGTGGACGGCATGCCGCCCTCGTGGGACGAGCCGCGGGCGGCGGGTTTTTTCGGGCGGTACGGGCAGATAGAGCGTGTGGTGCTGGCGCGCAACCTGCCGTCCGCCAAGCGGCAGGACTACGGCTTCATCAACTACACCACTCGCGAGGCTGCCCTCGCTGCCATTGCCGCCCTCAACGGCTCACAAGTCGTCGATGGAAACTTCCAGGTAAGTGTTCCCATAGTGCTCACGCTCACTTCCAGTGTGCACCCAAGCATGCTCTTGCCGTACTGCATTATCGTGCTTCATCTGCTCTTCTCGCTTCGCCTCCACTGCTCGTCTCAACCCCCCCATGTCTTTTCCCCCGTTCCTCCCCCTCCCTCCCCCTCGCCCACCCACACCTGCAGATGAAGATGCGTGTGACTCTAGCAAAGCCGCAGGACCGCAAGCCGCGCCACCCGCCTCCCGGCGGCAGGGCGGGAGGGGGGGAGCAGCGCCGGGCGGACTTTGGGGACGGCAGCGTGACGGCACTGCTGGAGGCGCTGAGGGAGCAGGCAGAGCGCGAAGAGCGCGGGGAGGGCGCGCAGGGGGCGCAAGCTGGGGAGGGGGAAGGCGCTGGGGCGGAGGTCAAAACGGAGGGTGGTGGCGATGGGTCGAGTGGAGTGGGGACAGGGAAGGGGGTGAAGCAGGAAGGAGGGGGCGTGGGGGAGCAGGAGGGAGGGTTGGCAGGGAGTGCAGCGGCGGCAGTGGAAGCAGCTCTGGCAAACGAATCCAAGGGCGCGGGCGACGGAGAGGGGGACGCAGAAGGGGAAGCAGAGGAAGGGGCAGAGGGAGAGGCGGGGACGCCAGGGAAAGCGCGTGCGGGGGAGAGGGAGGGGAAGAACACGGCGGGGCTGAACCGGTTTGAGTGTGCGGTGTGTGTGTTTGGATCGGATGACGAGAGCGAGTACCTGTCGCACCAGCTGTCGCGCGTGCACAGCATTGTGAGCATGTTCCGACAGGACCTAAAGCTGTCGAACAAGACGCCCCTCAGCATGCTCAACGAGCTCGCCATGCGCAACAAGATCGAGGTGAGCTCGCCTTGCCATGTCATGCACAACAGGATTGAGCGACCACCCTGCCGTGCCTGCCTGCACTGGTTGCGACGACACTGCCTTCTCTTCTCGTCCACCTGTCGCCTCACTCATCGTACCCGCACGACCATTTTATTTGCAAAAGAAGCCTTACTCTGTGCATCTTCTCTCCCCGCGCCACCTATTCCTGCCCGCCCCTGCCAGGTGACGTACGAGCTCAAGGGCGAGCCCACAGGCCCCTTTGACGCGTCCGCGTCACTAGGCGGCGGCCCCAACGCCATCCCGTGGGTGTGTGGCGAGGCGCGTGCGGGCATGAAGCTGCGCGCCAAGCAGATGGCGGCAGCAGCGGCCCTGGAGGCGCTGCTGCAGGCGGGCGTGGGGGAGAGCGAGCTCACCCGCCCGGGGCAGGCGCGGCTGAAGCAGATGGGCAAGGGCAAGGGCGGCAGAGGCTCGCCTGGAGGGGCGCAGCGCGGGGGGCGAGGGGCGTATGGCGGGCGCGGAGGGGGGGATAGAGGGCGGGCGGATAGGGATGGTGGGGGGTATGGGGGGTGGGCGTCAGGAGACTTGGCAGGGGGAGTGGGTGGGTATGGTTCGTTGGGGGTGTATGGGGGAGGGGCGATTGGCACGGGGTTGGGGGAGGCAGCAGCGGGGGAGAGTTATGCAGAGAGGCTGGGGCGCATTCAGGGCATGCACTATGTGATGCGCTCGGGCCTGCCTCCTGCCTCGCCTAGCTTGCAGCCTCTTGCTCCTCCCGCTGCCCCACCGCTGGGTGCGGGCTTGGGAGCAGCGGCAGGGGGATATGGTGCTCCCAGCACGGGTTATGCCGGCTCTGGGGCTGCATATGGTGGCCAGTATGGTGGCGCGCAGTACAGTGCGGTGCAGCAGTACGGTGGCAAGTATGGGGGGGCTTCGTACGGTGGGTCTCCATACGGTGGGGCGCAGTATGGAGGGGCGGCGTACGAGGGGCAGTACGGGCGGGCAGAGGGAGCAGCGAGTGGAGGGAAGCGGCCGTACCCCCCTGCTGACAACCCTGACGGCCTTGTGAGCCACTTCCCGCCCCACCTATCCGCCCCTGGCCTCGCCTTTCCCCCCTACGCCTCGCTGTTCCTCCCTCGTGCCCTCCCTCCCCGTCATTCAATTTCCTCCGTCCCATGTTCATTCCCTTCAACACCACCCCCCTCCCTCCTCCTCCCCCTCAAACCCCCCTCCATGTGTGTGTGCAGCATGCCAGCCAGCGACCACGCACCGACCCCTACGCTCCCGCCGCTCCCCCCACACGCTCTGCCTACTCCAACCCCCCGCCCGCACACCCCTACAGCGCGCCTCCGCCTCCCCACCCCTACTCCACGCCTCCCGCTCATCCCTACACCAACCCGCCACCAACACACCCGCCCCCCTCCAACCCTCCTTCCTCCTACCCCTCTGCGCACACCTATCCCGCCCCACCCTCTTACCCGCCGTCCTACTCCTACCCTCCTGCCCCTTCTGCTCCATACGGCACTGGGGGTGCATCATCCGCACCAGCCGCACCACCACCACCAGCGCCACCCCCGTACTACCAGCAGCAGCACCCGCAGTCACAGCAGGCAGCCGGGGCGGGCAGTGGCAGCAGCGCAGGCGGTGCAGAGCGGTGAGTGCTGCTGTGAGAGGCGTTGGTTCATGTGAGGAGTGCCCACCCCTCGCCCTCTTGTCTGCCTTTGTATTCAATTCGAGTCCTTGTTTTCCCTCCATTGCCCCTCCTGTCACATGCCTCAGCTTTTTTCCCTTCTCTTCCTTCCTCATCCCTTGTCTCTCCTTCCCTTCCCTTCTCGTCCTTCTGCGTGTGATGTGGTGATGTCACTGTGAATGCCAGCTCCTACGCACACTCTCACCACTACTCGACCCAGCCGCAGCAGCAGCCGTATCAGCAGCCGTACTCACAGCAGCAGCCGCCACCCCCGCAGCAGCCATATCAGCCACCATACCAGCAGCCACAGCAGTACCAGCAGCCACAGCAGCAGCAGCAACAACAGCAGCGGCAGCAGGCTTATGATCAGAAGCCCCCACAGCCGCCGCAGCAGCAGCAGCAACAGCAGCAATCGGCAGCAGGGGTGGCAGAGAGAGGCCGTGGTGGAGAGGGAGGGGGGCAACAGCAGGAAGTGAAGCGAGATGGGGGAGGGCAGGGGGGCTATGCAGGAGGGGCGCCGCCCCCCAGCACTGCAGGTGGTTACGGGGGTGCATATGGGGGCGCGTATGCAGGCCTGTATGGTAACACCCATGCTGCCGCCACTTCCGCAGCTCCTGCTCCTCCCGCCGCCCATGCTTCAGCGCCGCCCGCCCAGGCTCAGCCGCCACCGTCTGCTGGCCAGTCCCCTGCTCCTGCGGGTGGTGCGGGCGGTGGCGGGGGGGCAGCGGGTGCAGACGGTGCGACGGGGACGAGTGCGTACGGGCAGTATGCGTCGGTGCCCACCACCTACTACTGACCGCCGCTCTGCCCCGCTGCTCACCTGCTCGCATGCCACAGGTGAGACGATTGGCAGTTGTGCTTCCACTTGCTCTCCATGCTCGTCCCCCACTTGCTCTCCATGCTCGTCCCCCACTTGCTCTCCATGCTCGTCCCCCACTTGCTCTCCATGCTCGTCCCTTTTCGATTTACTGTGCTCCCATGTGGCCCTGGGTGCCTAACCCGCCCTGCTGTTCGCTGCTGCGACGTGCATTGGCATTGGTGTGCCTCCTCGGGGGCTGTGCCGCAATCCTCTGGACGCACATGTGCCGGTTGCTGTGTGCACGCATGCGTGTATGGGTGGTGACACGTGGCAGCACCATCTTCTGCATGCTTGCAACCACAAGGTTGTCACACCGTGTGTGCACGTGCCTCACTCTTTCTGCCCCTTTTGCGCCCATTGTTTCTCTGTTGCCTTTGCCTCACAATCTTTGTGAGTCGACTTAAAAGCCATTCCGTGTGCCAATGTCAATGCTGTCCCCTACAAACCTACCAGCAGCAGACACGTGTGTGTCTTCTACCAGCCAAGAGCCGGTTCGGGCTTCACCAGCCCGAACCCTCAATCCATTGCGAAACTGAAACCCCCCTGACCGCCGACATCGAAAGCGAATGTTGAAGGCCCATTATGAAGCAGCCTGCTTGCTTCGCAAGCAGTGCACTTGTGGTGCTCACGGCAGCACACTCCAAAGCATCGCTGCTGGCATTGACTGGTTGCTGCTGTCTAAATTGCAGCCCATCAGCTGCGGTCTGTGAGTCTTGGACACGCGGATCGCAGCCCCTGCTGGCTGTGAATGCTGTGTGTGCTGCCCTAGAACCACCACTTTTCCTTTCAAGCTTAGCTGAAGCTTGTAGCCGTTGACTTCCGTTCTCTCCAGGCCTTCTGGGAGGAACCATTTCCGTGTGTGCTGCTTTATGCTTCTAGGATTCGCTCCCGTAGGCATGATACTGTTCGTCCCCCTTGCCATCATTCAGTCAGTCAATGTGGAGCATTGCATTCTGTCTGCACCACATGCTTTTGCACGTTTGATGTGCCATAGAGATTAGTAGACTAACTAAATTTGGGGAGAGGTAATTGGGGTGATTTGCAGAAATATTGAAATGAGCTGAATCGAGTAGTGGTGAAATTGCAGCCAGTCGGGAACAGCAATGGACGGTTTTGCTATATCGATCCCACCTGTTGACTCTACATGTGAGCTGGCTAGGCATTCTTCTAATCTGTGCATTGCCAGAGAATGCCAATGTTGGAGAGGTATGCATGGGCCTGCTGGCACCACGGAGTTGCAGGTGGTGTAGATGAGAAGCAGTGGTGGTGGCGGCAAGCAAGGGTCACTCTCTGATTGCATGTTTCTTACAATGAAGGTGGATATGGGAGAGTACTCCATAACAGAGTCATTCATCGCCCACCCCACAGCGCACACACAGCCCTTCATGCCTTTCAAGGTGGACCTACATGCTACTCAAATACCGTAGCCTTTTCATCCCTTGCTTCTCTCTTTTGCTGGGGGAAAGCACATCAAACTGCTCCTTGTGCAACTCTGCTCAGCTCACTTGTTAAATCCAACAGCCCACCATGTCAGCTGCCGTACTCTCATATTGAAAGAAAAGGCCATCTGATTCACGCTTGCAAATCACCCTAATGTACTCACCTGCACGACATCAATTTCAGGCTTCAGTTGTGGTCACTGCTTGACTAGTGGTGCACAGACTGAATAAAGATTGCCTCACTCCTACCTAACAATGTATAGCAGTAAATAGATTCCACTCAGCTCGAGTTGGATCGGAACATAGTGGGAAAACGCAGTTTGACAGGAATTCAACCTTCTCTCGACATCTGCGAGTGGGAACTTCCTCCTGCACTGCATGCAGGAAATACCCTCTGGCTGCCATGGCATGTGGATTCCAGGAGCAACAACATGGGTCATGTCATGTGTGGCTTGCAGGTGAGACTCATGATGTTGAGGGGGGGACGTATGTGACGGTGGCATGTGATGCCAGCCAGTCCAGCACCGTCTTGCCTTCCAATACCTCTGCCGCCTGGTGTGTAGCGAGGAGGAGCACGGGAGTTGGAGAGGGCACGCAAGGACATGTTTGCAGGGAGATGGACAATGGACAATGGGCAAGGGGCAGGTAGCAGTGACAGGGACAGCGAACTGCTTGCTGTGCATGTGGTGATGCACCCTGTCCCATGCTGGTGATGCACCCTGTCCCATGCTTCTCACCTCCCACTGCCCACCCCCCACTGCCCACCACCCACTGCCCACCGCCCACTGCCAGCCGCCCACTGCCCAGTGTCATTGGAGGGTAACCCCTCCTTTACCTGCTCGCGCACGCGCTTGGCGTCAAACTCCTGGTTGAAGCGCTTGAACTCCGCCTCTGCGCTCGCCACCTCCGCCTCCAGGTCCTCGTCACTGAACTGCTTGCACATGCCCGGCATGACCGCGCCAGGGCAGCATCATGAGGGGCAGTGTGAAGAGGGGAAGGGTGTCAACAGAGCAATGGGAGTCGGGGGGCGGAATGATTGTTAGTGCACTGGGGTGGCGGCAAGGTGGGAAGCAGTGAGTGGCGTGGGGTAGTGAGATGAGTGGGAGTGTGAGGTGTCCGTTACAAAGCATAGTGTGTGAGGGTACGAGAGCACGCGAGAACAGGAAAGGGAGCAGGATGAGAGCAGGCGAGGAGAGGTAGTGGAGACGGAGTGTGCGAGGGGGCAGGAGCGAGTAAGGACGAGCCTGTTGGAAGAGTTGTTAAAGACTATCTAATGTCCCGCCACGCCACGCCTCACCTGCAGCCCCTCGAGGCGGTACACCTCACCTGCAGCCCCTCGAGGCGGTACACCTCACCTGCAGCCCCTCGAGGCGGTACACCTCACCTGCAGCCCCTCGAGGCGGTACACCTCACCTGCAGCCCCTCCAGGCGGTACACCTCACCTGCAGCCCCTCGAGGCGGTACACCTCACCTGCAGCCCCTCGAGGCGGTACACCTCACCTGCAGCCCCTCCAGGCGGTACACCTCACCTGCAGCCCCTCGAGGCGGTACACCTCACCTGCAGCCCCTCGAGGCGGTACACCTCACCTGCAGCCCCTCGAGGCGGTACACCTCACCTGCAGCCCCTCCAGGCGGTACACCTCACCTGCAGCCCCTCCAGGCGGTACACCTCACCTGCAGCCCCTCGAGGCGGTACACCTCACCTGCAGCCCCTCGAGGCGGTACACCTCACCTGCAGCCCCTCGAGGCGGTACACCTCCTGCACGGCGAGTGATTGTTTGACTTGGCGCTCGATCTTGTCCTTCTGTGTGCGCAGGTAGTTCTCCACCATGCCCTCCGCCATCAGTGCTGCCACCTGCTCCTTCCCAACCTTGCCCTCCGTCTGTGCAGGGGGGGGGGATGGGTGGGTGCAGGGCGCGGCACACAACGTGTGAGACAGGCCCGTGTGGAGGGTCAGGCGCACGTGTAGGTGGGCAGCAGAGCAGAAGCAAGCGCATGGTTATGGCAACTCAATTCCCACCCAACAGGAAAGATGCTTGCAGCACCTCTCACCTGCAGCTCGATGAGCTTGGCGCCGTACATCTGCCGGCCCTGCTCCTCCAGCAGCGAGTTGGGCACCGCCATCTCACACACCTGCCAGGAATGCCCAGCATCAAGGGAGCATGGCGGGAAAAGTGGCAGGTTATGCATGGCAATATACGGAGAGCGCATCGCTAACCTTCCCCACATCCCTCGCCCATGGCCTAGCCACACCTCTCCCCTGGATATGTAGTGTCTCCATGCCGCAAACTTACCTCCCCCATGTGAACCTTGACTTCCTCATGCAAGCCCACCGTCCCAAAGCACGCCCACCACCATACCCCCCCAAGGCATACCTCCCCCAGCCACACCTCCCCCAGCCACACCTCCCCCAGCCACACCTCCCGTATTCATACCTCCCCCAGCGCGTTGACAATGGCGTTGAGGGTGGCCTGCTTGCGCCTCTGCTGCTGCTCCACCTGCCACGCCCCCGCCACCTTGCTGCGCACCTGCACGGCCCCGGGAAGTGGGGGGAAGGGCGGATGGGGGTTGGCAGATAGCAGGTGGTGCATGGGAGCGCACAAGGGGATGGGGGGGGTGATTGAGTGGCATGATACCACACCAGGGATGTAAGGAATGTGACGGATGCAAGGCATGGGAATGTGGTTGTGCCATGCATCGATAGCTCTGGTAAGTGAAACGGCATGGCAGTGTGGCAGCAGGGGGCAGCAGAGGGCAGCAGGGGACAGCAGAGGGCAGCAGGGGGCAGCAGGGGGCAGTAACGGGCGCATCATCTCCTTGTTGTACCTCGTCGATGGTGGCCACTCCTGGGAGGAACTTCTCAGCAAGTTCGTCCGTCAGCTCAGGTAGTTCCCTCACAAACAGCTCCTGGCACTTCACCTGGCGGGCGAGAGGAGGCGAGGAGTGGGGAGAGAGCAAGGGGGGGGGGGGGGTGGAAGGGGAGTTAGGAGCGATAGCTGAAGCGACATGGGGTGGGTGCAAAGCTGTGAATAAAGCATGCAGAGTGGTGTAGAAGGAGGTGCAAAGGGGTGCAGAGAGCAGCGGAGCAGAGAGCAGCGGAGCAGAGAGCAGCGGAGCAGAGCGCAGCGGAGCAGAGAGCAGCGGAGCAGAGAGCAGCGGAGCAGAGCGCAGTGGAGCAGAACGCAGCGCACGCACAGTGAAGGTGGCGGGGAGGTTGCGGAGGGATTCGGTCTGCCAGGTGGGCGGGAACGTGAGCTCAAACTCCCTCGTCTGGCCGCGCTGCATGCCCATGAGTGCGTCCACCATGCCTGGCAGCAGGTACTCGCCCTCCTCCGTGTCCAGCTGGAAGCCTGGCGCACGGAGGATGGGGGAGAGAGAGGGGGAGGGGGAGGGACACGGTGAGGCGGAGGTGGGACGAGTGTGCAGCATGGCCAAGGGCGTGCGGGTGGCGGGGTGTGGGTGGTGCTGGGTGAAGCATGGGGCCATGGGGACAGGCGCTGAGGGAACATGGGAGGGCGGGGGGGGGGCGGGGCGGGGCGGGACGATGCAGGTAGAGGGGCAATGAAGCGGGCGCAGAAGGGCAGGGGGAGGGGGGAGGGGGGAGGGGGGTACCTTTCTGAGTGGCGGAGAGGATGGGGTCGCCCTTCTGCCCGTCTGCCGTGATGCGATGCGCCTCGATGTCCACTATTGTCACATCGCCCATCTGCATGCGTGCCACCATGCATGCGTGCCACCATGCATGCGTGCCACCATGCATACATGCACATATGGAATGACAAAGGCAGGCACAATGTGTTTAGCACGAGGGACATGCGTTTGCGTGTGCCCATGTGTGCATGTGCACATGTGTGCCGGGCTTTTGTGCATGCAGGCATGCATCTGCATGGGTGTGCATGTGTGCACACGTGAGTGCGTGTGGGTGCATGGGTGGGCATGCAGCAGCAGCAGCGGCACCTTGAGCCCAGAGTCCTGCGAGATGTTAAGCCGGCCCATGCTCTTGAGCTGCGTGCGGATCTGCCTGTCCGCCGCCGCCCTGGCGGCCTCGTCCCCGTCGTCCTCCACCTCCACCTCCACCTGCAGCGCTGCATACGGCCGCTCGCCCTTCCACTTCACCGCCGGTGCCACGTCCACTGTCACCTCGTAGCTGCGGGCGGGGCGAGGAGAGGGGAGGTGAGAGGGGTGCAGATGGCGGATGATGCGATGTGGCGCGCTGAGGAGATGGAATGCGAGGATGGGAGTGCACGAGTGAGAAAGATGCGGGGACAGAGAGATGGGGGGAAGAGAGGAATCAAGATAGGTAGTTTGCAGGGGAGGGAGGGAGCGGGGCTGACGAGAGGGCGCTGTCGGGTTGGAAGGCGGCAACGAGGTCGTCCACGTTGGATGTTATGTGCTCCGAGTCCTTTAGCGCCCTGCCCGCCACCTGATGGCACGCACGCATGCATGCAGGGCAGCACAGCGCATACACACACGCATACATGCACGTGTGCAACACATCTCCGCAGCACACATTGAGTGAGAAATGGGGCATGCATACATGCATGGCATGGGGCCAGCATCATCAGGCGATGCAAGAGGCACTGCCCCAGTGGGGCAGAAGCAGAGGGCATTGAATCTCGCAGGCATGGGGGCAACAGGTGGCCCAGGAGAGAGTGGGGCGCGCACGAGGAGTGCGGTGCGGGGATGGGCGCGAGGAGGGTGGAGAGCGGCGAGTGCGGGATGCAGGGCACACGGAGGCAAGAGGGTGGGGGACAAGGGGGAAGAAGAGGGGGGGGGTGCGCACGGAGGCGAGGGCGTCGGAGAGGGTGGACTGCAGGAGGAGGTCGAGCGCCTGCAGCTTGACGGGGCGCTCGCCGTACTCGCGCACCAACAGCCACTCTGGCACCCTGTCTCCCTTCCTGAACCCCTTTATCTGCCGCGCGTGAAGGGGAAGAGAAGAGAGGACGGAGGAGGAAAAGTGAGTGAGTGTGTGTGGTTGGAGGTGGTGAGAGAGCGGCAGTGCGATGCGAATGCGTGTGCAGGGAGGAAGGTGGCGCATGGCATGGCATGGCATGACGTGGGGGTGCGGTGCAGCAGTGTCATGATAGCCTCGCAATGGCAGATAGCAACGACATGTGATGGACCAATGCTGGTCACTCCACAGCGTGCGCTGCGAGTCACCTTACCTGAGTGGTGCGCATCAGCTCTTTAACAGTCCTCTGCCACGTGTCAGCGCAGATCGCGGCGGGCACCGTCACCGTCAGTCGAACCTGCGCACAAGGGGCCGCACGGCACAGCACGGGGTATAAGTAGGGGCGCGGTTGAGGGGACAGGGTTCTGCGCGCGCGCGTTGCTCGTGCCCGCGCTGTTGCAATCAGACCGCCACGGCGCGGCTACTTGTTCCCACTATCGCCCTCTCGCCTCGCTCGCCCCGCCTCGCCGTGGCTCGGCGCATCTGCCTTCCCGCGTCACTGCGTGTCGCCCATCGCCTGTTGCCCACAATGCGGCAGTCAAAATCTACCCTTTTCCAGGCAGCTACAAGCCCCGTGGCATTTCCCATGACGAGCGACGCGAGCGCTGTGGAAAATGTGAGCGATCGCGATTGCTCTCGCGAAGGCCTGACGGCGAGACGACAATGCCGGCATGCGAGGATACCAGCGTCGCCGCGGCAGCTAGCGCCTGCTGCGACGAGGGCCCGCGACATGGCGTGACACGCATGAGCGCGGCTACTGACGGGCGAGGGGGAATCGATCCTCCGTGCACCTAGCAGCACGTGCACCAAGCAGCACGGGTGCTGCCGCCACTCACCCGCGAGTTCTCGTCCTCCTCAGACTCCGTAACCTCCACGCGCGGCTTCTCCGCCTTCGCCTTCGCCTTCGCCTTTGACTTGCCGCCCCCCTCCGCTGACGCTGCCGCTACAGCATGCCTGGCACGTTCGCCAAGGGTCGCCGAGCGGCGTAGCTGCTTTCGCCGGCAGCATTCGTGCGACTGGCGCTTTAACGGAGCGCCCAGGAACGAGCAGGCAGGTCGAGCATTGGCGGTGGCAGCAGAGGAAGAATGGATCGCAAGGGATGCGGCGGGTGCAGAGGCGAGAACCTTGGAAGCCATGGTTGCTGATGAAAAGAATGAAAAAAGCTGATCAGGGCGGGACATATTTTGGAAACAGTTCAATCTCTGTACTCGTTACAAAAGTGCCTGATATCTCCATATCACCAGACAGCTACACAAAATCAATTTATTCGAAGCACGAACAAGGAGGAATATTTGCAAATGAACCAGAGAGCCCTCATGGTCACCTCCGGAGGGAGAGCCAATGAAGGCATGGGATGACGTGGCAGTACCATATCATAGTGGCAACAGGCTTCCTCTGGTCATCCCAGGCCAACGTACAATTGCGTTGCACAGTGCTAATTTCGGGCAGGCTCTAGTCAATGCGAACTGGTTGGTGATCACTGTTTCGTGCCCCGAACAAAGCGAGGATTTTTAGTTCTGATGGGATGAATGATGTTCGATTTTCAAAGAAAACTTATAAATGTTTTTGCGACTGCCGTGACCTCTTGCGTTGACGCCAGGTTGGCGCTTGATTTGTTCAAATTGACATCACGCCACGACCCGCTGAGCTGACCCCGAGAGGCGATTCGGCTTGGTGTCGGAGCCAACAACCAGGCGAACCTTCCCCCACGTCCCCCCCAACATTCGCCACCTGGCGCCCAATCGCAGGAATCATCCGCCTCTCCCTGCAATTCAGTTCCGCCTACTGTACAGCTGTTCGCTCTGCCCCTCCCCCGCCTAACTCCCCACCTCTATTCGCCAGCTCGCTAGATCAACCGCCAGCTTGTCGCAACAGGCTCACCAGAAAGCAAGCACCAACGCACCAACCCACCCCACCAGGTTCAAGCCACCCATAAGACCTCGACATTGTGCGTTCTAGAATCTAGGAACTGTCGTCGCACAAGCTTGCCCGATTCTGACTAATTCACAGTGAGATGGCGTAAATGTTCGCCTGAGTTCGGCGAAAGCATGCCCGCAGCGGCCGTCGCTGTGCTTGGGGGGAACGAGTGCATTGCAGATTATCCCGCTCACTGCGCTAGCCCCCCGCACCCGGCGCGTACCGCTCGCCATAAATCCGCTTCCCGCCCGACGGGTTGCGCAGGCATTGCCGGTGGCGTGGGTACTAGCGGGACGAGAGAGGGCAGGCCGGTTATGGAAGCACGAAGCGGTTGGGAATACGCAGGAGTTGGCAAGAGAGGTAGCCCGGGGTCACGAGGGATGCGGAGCGGTGAAGAGGTGAACATGAGAGGGCGGGGCGCAGTGGACATGGATGTCTTGTGGGCGGATCCAGCGGTGGTCGGGGGGCCCGGGGATAGGGATGCGCGCGCTGATAACGGCGGGGAAGGTGGAGAGTACGACGACGATGACGAGGAGCAGGAGGCGCCGGCGCTGGAGCGACTGGAAGCCGTGTCGCGCCACTCGACCCCGTCGCGCTTTTCGTTGAACGCCTCGCCCGAGGTGCCTGGCGCGGGGAGGGAAAGGTCCGCTGAGGGCATTCCCCGACCTCGCACCGGAGGGCACGGCGCGCGCGGTATGCACGACGGGGTGCAGGCGCAGAGGGGCGACGGGGCCCCCAAGGTCCATCCACGCACCCGCGCACTGCGCGCGTCGCACCACCGCCGCTGGGCGTCGTTCGACGGTTCGAATGCAATGCTTTGGGACGGAGAAGACAATTTGCGTGCGCATTCCGCGGAGAATTCGGCGCGGTTGCTATGGGGCGGCGCCGCGGAGCAACAGCTGCAGAGCTCGCTGCACCCCGACAGCCTGCTCCGCGAATCCTCCGCGTCCGCAGTCGGCTCAGCTTGCCCAAAGCCCTCCGTGCGCCGAACGCGCACGCGACAGCAACGGCAACCGCGGGCGAACGCGAGCAGCCAGTCGCAGATGCGGTCTCGATCGGACCGGCTGAGCGGCTCGGGTAACCAATCGGATGGCGAAGTTGAGGGCGGCGGCGGGTTGGCCGGCGAGGGGTCGTCGGACGACGACGAGCTATTCCGCCCCACGCCGCCGCGCGTGCTGGGCGGCGTCGGAGCGCGGTCCGGCAGGTGGGCGAGCGCGAGCAGCGGGGAGCGCGGGTCCGTGCTGGCGGCGTGGCAGCAGCGCGAGCTGGCGCAGGTGGAGGAGAAACTCCGCCACGCGGGCGATGGCGGAGAGATGGCGGGGGGCGCACTGGCTGGTGAGAGTCAGGGGCGGGGGATGGATGGACTGGGGGACGAGAGGCGCAGGCTCGGCGGAGAGGCCTTGTGGGGGAGGGGGGAAGGGGGAAGGGAGACCGAGGCGGAGATGGTGGGCGCAGCGGAAGGGGAAGGTATTGAGTCAATGGTCAGGGGCGCGCATGGTGCGCTGGCAAGTGAGATGATGACACGTGGACTCTTGGATGTTGCTGACGTGGATGCGAGGGAGAACGGGTCGTGCGGAGGAAGCGAGGCGGGAAGGCGGAGAGGGCAGCAAGGGGGAGAAGAGGATGAACGGGAAGACGGGGAGGGGAGGAAGCGGGGGGAGGATGTCGGAGGGCGGGAGACAGACGGAGAGGGGCTGATGGAGGGCGCAGCGGGTCAGGAGGAGGCGGAGGCGGAAATCCAAGGGGCGGAAGACGCTGAAGGGGAGGGGGGCCTGGGGGACAGGGGGGAGTTAGACGGAGAATATATGGAAGGGCGGAGCAGAGTGGACGGGGCGGAGGGGGGGGGGGAAAGCGATGCGCGCATTGCAGAGGAGCACAAGGCAGAGGAGGGGGAGGAGCGCGAGCAGGGCGGCCATGGGGAGGGCGGGCATGGGGAGGGCGGGTGGCCCAAGTTCCTGCGGCGTAATGCAACCGCGCAGCCGGGGGGGGCCAAGGGGGAGAGCGGGGGGGGGCGGGGGGAGCCGGCTGGGGCAGCTGCTGCGCAACGGGACGTTCAAGCGCCCGCAGGGGGAGGGCGAGGAGCGCCACGGCAGCCGCCTGGGCCGCGTTGCCACTGCTGTGCGCGCTGGGCTCAAGTCCAGTGAGACGCGGGGGAGGGGAAGGGGAGGATGTGGGGCTTTAGACATGGGGGGAGGGGGGAGACGTGGGTTGGCATGGGTCGTGGGGCGGAGGGGAAAAGGGCGAAGCACATGGGGCATGGGGTGCGAGGTGCGGGACGGTAAGTGAAGGCGAGATGAGTGGGGTGACTGCCTCGTCGTGCCTCCCCCTCGTCCACCACCTCCATTGATCATCCCTTCTCCATTGATCATCCCTTCTCCACCATCCCTTCTCCACCATCCCTTCTCACCACTCTCAACCCGCCCGTGTGTGTGCTGCCTGGTTGTGCATGCAGGTTCGTCCTTCAATGCGCGCAAGCACGCTCAGCAGCACCCACAGGAGCAGCGGCAGCAGCAGCAGCAACAGGAGCAGCAACAGTGAGAGCACGCGCCCTTGCCATGCCCCTCTCCTCCATGCCCCCTCTCCGCCATGTCCCCTCTCCTCCATGCCCCCTATCCATGCCCCTTCCGCACCTTTATGCTGGAACCGCTCCCCCAGCCACTCGTTCTTGCCTCTCTCCCTCCGCCCTGACACCCGATTCCCCCCACATTCCGCCCAATTATCCACTCCGGATATCTACTCTCATACGCACCCCGTTCTCCCCTCTCCCCTCTTCCCCCCTTCTCTCTTCCCCCCCCCACCTTCCCCCATCCGCGCGCGCAGGGAGGGGAAGGGCTTTGAGGGGCTGGCAGCGCCCAAGCGGGTGCAGTTCCAAATCACCGAGCTGGAGGTGGGGGGGGGGGGGGGGGGGGAGAGAGATTGGAGGGGGAAAGAAGGGGGGTTGGGGAGAGAAAACGGGGATGGAAAGGTGCATGGGGGGAAGGATGTGCCGGGCAAGAAGCATGCTCGTAATGCTGGTGCCACGACTTGTGCTATTCGTGTTTCCATTCATGCTTCTTGCAGTCGTAGATCCCCTTCCCATACCCCTCCCTCCCCACCCCCACCCCCCCCCCGGGCCGCGGCCTTTCAAACTCCTCCTGCAGTTCGCCACGGACGGCTTCGCGCGGGAGAACATATTGGGAGAGGGCGGATTCGGCACGGTGTACCGCGGGCTGCTGCCAGTAGCACCGCGCGTGGAGGTGGCGGTGAAGGTGTTGAAGCAGCTGGGCGTGCAGGCGGACGAGGAGTTCCACATCGAGCTCGAGCTGCTGTCGCGGCTCGACCACAAGAACCTCGTGCGCCTGCACGGCTTCTGCTCCACCGCCTCCCAGCGCATGCTCGTCTATGAGTACCTGCCCAATGGCTCCCTCACCGACCACCTCCACGGTACGCCCTGTGCTCCTCGTCCCACACCCCACGCCCCACACACTGTGTTTCCTCCCTCTTGTGCGTGCCCCTCCCAGTTTCACTCGCCGCTGGCCAACCGTCGCCTCCCCTCGTCATGCCCCACGTCCCCTCATCCTAGTCGTCTTCCTCTGCTGCCTGTGGAGCAGCCTGTGAGCGAAACCGCTTCCCACCTCCCCCCACCGGCAGGCCCCCCGGGAACGGCAGAGCTGTCGTGGGAGCGGCGCGTGCGCATAGCAGCGGGGGCGGCGAGGGGGCTGGCTCACCTGCACCGACAGCGACCGCAGATCCTGCACCGCGATGTGAAGGCGCCCAACATCCTGCTCACCTCCAACTTCACTGCTAAGGTGCGCGTGTGTGGCACCGCACAGCCACGCACAGCACCGCACATGGCTGCATCAAATCACATAACGTTGCATCACTCACACCCATTTTCCATGTCACCAGCCCACTGTGTGCCCCAGAGCGCCTTGACAGCCCTCGCCTCCCTCCGTGTCACTCGCCTCATCAAACGCCGTGCCACCACTCCCTGCCCCCCCCACCCCACATGCATCCTTTCACTCTCACTTTGCATCCCAACACCCCCGTCCCCCCCTCCCCCTGCCCCCAGGTGGCGGACTTTGGGTGCGCGAAGCTGATACGGCGCACAGAGGTGGTGGAGGATGCGGTGACGGGGAGGCAGGTGGAGCGGCTGTGTGACAGTGTGGACTACGCCATGGGCACCCCCGGGCACATGGCGCCCGAGATGCTCATGACTGGCGAGATCAGCGCTGCTACTGATGTGTACAGGTACGGGCAGGAGGGGAAGGGGACTCCTGAGTCCGCGCAGAACTGACAGCGCGTGAAATGAGTGAGTTTTTTGAGTGAGTGAGTTTTTGAGACGTCTCAAAAATCACTCACATCGCAGTGCGGGCAAGGCTCTGCGGCTGCCAGGCTCGGCTTGTGGTGGGGGGATGGGTGATAGCTGGCAACATGCATTCATCCCACTCACTCCCCTGTTGCTACCCTGCCGCTCACCACCTCCCCACATTGACCCTCTCTGCGGTTTGCTCTACCCCATGCTCCCTCTCGTCGCCATACCCTGAACCCACCTTCAATCCACTCACCTCTTCCTTCCGCGCCCTCCCATTTAATCCCATCCCTCCAATCCGTTGCACCCCACTGCACCTTTCCCGCCGCCCGCCCAGTTTCGGCGTGGTGCTGCTGCAGCTGGTGACGGGGCGGCTGCCGATAGACTCGAGCCGGCAGCAGCTGACGATGTGGGCGGCGCCGCTGCTGGAGGAGGAGCGCTGGGAGGACCTGCTGGACCCGCGCCTGCAGCGCGCCCTGCTGGGCCGGGTCAATGGGGGGGGCGCAGGGGGCGGGCGAGGGGGGGAGGACGCGGCAGGGGCGGGGGCAGTGGCAGGGGCAGCGGGGGAGTTGAGGCGGCTGGTGGCGGGGCGGTCGGTGGGGCGGTGCCTGCAGCTGGCGGGCACGTGTCTTGACATGGACCCCCTGCAGCGCCCCTCCATGGAGGATGTGGCGCTCTCCCTGCTCGCCATCTACAGCTCAGGTGCCCGCTTCCCCCTCCCTCCCTGCCACCCTCCCTCACCTCCACGGATTTTTAAACACTGCCTCTCCCGCACTGCCCACCTCTCCATCTCACGCCCCCTTCCCCCCTCCCCACCCTTCCCCCCTCCCCACCCTTCCCCCCTCCCCACCCTTTCCCCCTCCCCACCCTTTCCCCCTCCCCACCCTTCCCCCCTCCCCACCCTTCCCCCCTCCCCACCCTTTCCCCCTCCCCACCCTTCCCCCCTCCCCACCCTTTCCCCCTCCCCACCCTTCCCCCCTCCCCACCCTTCCCCCCTCCCCACCCTTCCCCCCTCCCCACCCTTCCCCCCTCCCCACCCTTCCCCCCTCCCCACCCTTCCCCCCTCCCCACCCTTCCCCCCTCCCCCCCTTCCCCCCTCCCCCCCTCAGCCTGCGCGGAGCGAGACGAGGCGCTGCAGCCGGCAAGCGAGGGCTTCAGAAGCGGCCGAATGCTGCCGCCCGCCGGCCCGTCAGACCCCACGCGTGCGGGGTCAGGGGGGAGCTGCATGCAGGGGGCGGGTGGGGGGGGCAGCGGGGCAGTGGTGGGGGGAAGTGCGCGGATGACGGCCAGTGGGGGGCTGTCAGGGTCGCCTGAGAGGGCAGCCGGGACTGCCAAGGCCAGATTCCAAAGGTGCTGCTCTGCTCGCCCACGCCATGCCCCATTCGTTCTGCATGCCATGCTGTCCGTGTGTCCTGCTGCCCTCCTGCATTTCCTTCCCATTCCCTTGTGCATGCCCCATTCCCCTCGTGCATGCCCCATTCCCCTCGTGCATGCCCCATTCCCCTCGTGCATGCCCCATTCCCCTCGTGCATGCCCCATTCCCCTCGTGCATGCCCCATTCCCCTCGTGCATGCCTCACTGCCTCATGCATGTCCCATGTGCTGTTTATGTAGAGACACCTAACCCGTGTGTTTCTCTCTCACTTTCTCTTGTACACCAGGAACCGGTCAGCCCGGCACACGAGCTTTGGATGACAGTGCTCGCGCAGTCCACATGGAATACCGTAACAGCTTGGGATGATGCAGCTGGGGCGGCACATGCATTGCAGGAAGGCATATAGGGAACAGTACAAGCGTGTTCATGAGCATGGCATGGTGGGGGCACAGTGCATGAGCAGTCAGAGCAAGGGGACTCGAGTCAGCCTTATGCAAGCACCACAGCACTCCGAGTGCCTTGCCCCACACCCATGTGCTCGCACTGTGTGCTCATGCATTGGCAGTGGTAGGGAGCAGCGTGCGCGCTGCTGAATAATAATCCACCTCTTGTGTGCAGCCACGTAGGCAGGAGCAGTGAGGTGCATTGCCTTGTGGGAAGTTAGTCCAGAGGGAGTGCAGCAGGGTAAGGATGGATGCTACACATAGCAGTTCGCTCACATGTGTACATCACATGCTCATACCTGCAATGTAGGCATGTGCAACGTCTGTGGAGTGGATGATTAGGTGTACTGTCCTTATTATAACAATTGTTTCATATCTGCCAGTACAGTCATTATCCTGTAGGCGTATTTGCCAACTGAGCAGGGGCGCTAGAGGGTGTAATACAGGATGCAGCAGCTGCAAATACTGCCGTTGTTTTTTTATCCCTGCCCCCTGCTGCCGTGCAGCGCATTAGCGTTGCGCCTTCTTCTCTGCTACAAATTTACCTAAAATACGGTACGGTATGGTAGCGTACGCCCCAACGAACGCACCATACATCACGCAACGCCGTGTTCGCGTCGCCACGTTTCATAGAAGAGGTCGACCCAGGTGTCGGGCAGGCCGGGCATGCAGGGGTGCAAGCAGTCCTGCGATTTGCGGCGCTGCGCGGCGATCATGGCGTCGGAGCGGAAGAGCGAGGGGTGCGTGATGTCTATGAGGCGGATCGTGCGGCTGCCCTTGAACACGTTTGCCTGCGACGGGTACCACACGCGGCTCTGCGAGTTGTTGCGCTCAAAGAACGAGTACTGCGCACGGGGGACATAGGAAGCGGGGCGGGGAGGGGGGAGGGTAAGCGGGTGGATGGCGGTTGGCGGAGCAAGGGGCGTGAAAGGGGCTGCCGTGCGCTCTGTGTACCCCATGGGCGCCAGCAGAGCTCTCTGCCCTCCCTACACAGCCTCACACCACACCCAGGCTCAGCATAAGCTGCTGGCATGGGTTAGGCGGGCGCACAGTAGTGCGGCCTGGTAGAAAGCAGGCATCAGTGATGCGTCCATTGACCGTCCCCAACGGCCTCCGGGCCCCCTCTGCTCTGCATTTCCCTCTCTCCCGCCACCTCTCCCGACCGCAGATCCCAAGCCTCTTCCGCCTCTTTCCCCATTCCCCCTTCCCCCTTCCCCCCTCCCCCCCTCCCCCAACGCACCATCTGCGGAGAGCTGGGAGTCTTGGCGCCCTGGCAGCCGGCGAGGCGCGGCGGCGCGGAGAGGAAGTACATGGGCGGCAGCCGCCACCGCTTCACGCTCTTCGCGTCGAACGTGCGCGCCAGCCGCCGTAACGCCATCCTGCGGAGGAGGTACGGAGACGCGGGCGGGTGCGGGAACGGGGGGCGGCGGACGATGCGGATGAGGCGACGCGCAGGCCCATGGGAAAGAGGGGGATGGCAGTGGAGCATGGCGCATGGGGCATGCGGCACGGCGCAGGGGTCAGGGGGGCGGGGGGCGGGGGGCGGGGGGATGGACGCACTTGTAGGCCTGCACGGTGTTGGGTTCGGGCTTGATGAGCTGCCACTTGCGGTTCACGAAGAATCGCCGCAGCCACGTCTTGGCGTGCGGCCAGTGCGTCGCGGACTGGAACACCACCATGCCGAACCGCCCGACCTTGTCGAACCACGTGGGGTCGAACGTGTGCAGGTTGACGGCCGTGTCGCCCAGCCCGGGGTTGGTGACTTTAATGCGGCGCAGCACGTCGTTCTGAGTGGAGTAGGCCATGAGGAAGGGGCTCCAGTAGTTGACGATGGTCACGTTGTATGCCGCCACGCGCCACACGAACTTGCTCAGCCCGTCGTCCGTCACCTTGCTCACCGCCGACACGCGGTGGATCTGCGCGCATTCAGGGGGAGAGGGGAAGGGGACCGGTGGGAAGGGCGGTGTTGGCGAGTCGCTGGTGGCATGGGCGCCACGCGCTAGGGGTGGTATTGTTGGGGTAAGAACGAGATGAAGAGAACGCGAGAGGAGCAGCGAGGGCGTACCTGGCAGAGCATGGAGGGCGTACCTGGCAGAGCATGGAGGGCGTACCTGGCAGAGCATGGAGGGCGTACCTGGCAGAGCATGGAGGGCGGTACCTGGCAGAGCATGGAGGGCGGTACCTGGCAGAGCATGGTGGGCGTACCTGGCAGAGCATGGAGGGCGTACCTGGCAGAGCATGGAGGGAAGGAAGCCTTCGTACATGAGCGAGTCGCCCACCATCGCTATCACCCTGCGCGCCGACCACCACGAGGAGACAGGGAGGGGGAGCGAGGGAAGTGAAGAGAGGGTGAGGCAGCGCGGGTAGGCGAGGAAGGGCTGCTTCTCACGAGATTCGCAGAGCGGCAGTGCGGCAGAGCGGCAGTGCGGCAGAGCGGCCGTGCGGCAGAGCGGCCGTGCGGCAGAGCGGCCGTGCGGCAGAGCGGCCGTGCGGCAGAGCGGCCGTGCGGCAGTGAGGCAGTGCGTGGACACAAATGAGGTGCAGCAACTCACTTGTTGCGCATCCGCATCAAGAACTTGGCTGGCGAGAATCGTATTGTGCGCCCTCCACAGTTGCGCGGCTTCCATGAGTAGTACTGCATATCCCCGATACAAGCACATGGCAGCCATGACCAAATGCGCATGAGCATAGACGGAAAAAGCCGGATTGCGAAGAAAGTGAATTGTCAGTAAGTGAAACGCAAGGGGAGAGGGATGACGAGTGAGCGGTCGTACCATCCAGCTCGGGTCGAGTTTCCTCTTCGGGTCGAGGCAGTTGGTGGTGGGAGCGACGTCCTGCACGGCCAAGCATCGCAAGTCAACGCCAGTCAACAGCAAGTCTGAACGGTGATAGAGAGCACACAGCACGCATTCCAGTCAAGCTGACGTGATACGACACCGTGCGGATCACGAAGCCCTGCGGCCAATGCGGGGAGCAGCGCGTCACACGCTACATTTGCAAAATGTGGGCGCGCGCATTGAGCGGCGGGCAATGCGGCGCACCTTGAGGAAGGGGCACGAGGACATGTCGTAGGCGGGGCGGTTGGCGCGATCGGACACCCACGAGCCGTCGTAGATGTCGCACGTCGACCCCGCCGCCTGCGTCGTCGCCACCTTGGGCTTAGCGCCGTTCGTCGACTTCAGCGGATTTTCCGCCGCTGGCGACGGCGGCGGCGGTGCCGCAGAGCTGCTTTCAGGCGACACGTCGCTATTCTGATTGCTGTTGCCGCTGCTGCTACTACTGCTGCTGTTTGCACTGTTGCTGCTACCTCTACTGGTGGTGCTGGCGGCGGTGGTGGAGGGCGAGTCGACGGAGAGCAGCGCGGGCATGTCGGCCAGCATGAGCTCCTGCTGGAACGTGTCGTCACGATCCTTGAGCCCGCCACTCACGCCCGTGTCACCCGTGTGGCTGTGGCTCCGCGGAGCGGATATGAGAAGCAGCGCGCAGGCGAGTGCTAAGCACCGCCATCTGAGGGCGTGTGAGGATCTCATTGGCACAACAATGGCTGGTCACGACTAGACGGTAGATTCACGAACCTTGCGCCCTACGGCTTGGCACTAGAGGTGAGAAGGTCGATGTGAAGCTACGCGGCTCTTGAAAGCTGAAGGATAAATGGTCGGCTGAATTATGTGGAGGAGAGGAACAGATGCGAGGTGCATCGGCTAGCATAGACAGGGAGTGTTGACTTGGTGTTTCACGCATGTTCGAGATCTGTCTACAATGGTAGGTTGGTCTGGGTTGACTAGTACTTTCAATTCGACATACCACTGACGGAGAGCGAATTCCTCCCGACTGTTTGGAAAAACGTACACTAGCGGATCGCACCGCATGTGCGGCTCGGCGAAGGACATTGGACTGTGTGCGACCAGGCATGAGGCACGCACAATCGCACAGGCGAGGCGTCAGGTATGAAAGCTGGGACCGCAACCCATCACAGGACCAACGAGCCTTCGCCAATATATTGGCGGGCTCGCTCAAATAAAATGTCGGCTCGGTGCGAAGGTGTTTTGACGTCGCGAAATGGTCTTCGCGAAAGCTTGCCCGGACTGCGACGTCACAGACCGTCGAAAAAGCGTTGTGGAAGCGATGTCTCCCGCTCGCGGACAAACACCAGAATGGAAAGGGTGCTGTGACCACGCGTACAGAGTGTACAATGATATTGTACAAGAGTAGACGAACTGTACGAAAGGTTCAAATGTTTAATACACTTGAGATGTGTACGAAAGGAAGGTTTTTGTGTGCACCTGTACAGCGCGTGCGTCCCAATGGATGTTCCGGAGAGTCCTCCCACGTGCATGCTGCTGACCTTCACAGACCAGGCATTCCTTCGCACCGCTAACGTGCAATCGCTCCTGCACCCGCCTCCCCCATCTGTGCCCTTGCGCCTCTATTCTCTGCGCATTCCGCTCGCCACCTCTGCGCCGAACGTAATATGGCTTCTACCATCCGACCACTCTGAATGCCCGCCCAACATAGGCGGCATGAGCGGCGCAGGCGGCGGGGGCTATGAGGGCATGCCGGCACCTCAAGTGCCCCCACCATACCACACGTTCGCGCCGCTTCCGCGCATCGTGGAACTCCGCGCACCCGTCCCTCACTTGCCTATGCCCGCTCATGCGCTCCCCCCATGGACCCCTCACATTCCAGTGGCTGGGAACGACCCCGCCTCCTTGCGAGCAATCAGAAACTGCCGCGTGGCAGGCGATGACAGGCGGCCAAGGGGTTATAAGTCTCGGGCAGCAGAAGCGACCGCTGGGGCGGGAGGCGCAACGGAGAGGGCGGACAATGGGGACATGGCGGAAGGCAGGGGGGAGACGAACACAGATTGGCGGGGAAATAAGCGGCGGAGGGGGGAGATAGAGGGAAGCAGGTATGAGTGGGAATCGGTCCCAAGTGGTGGACAGGGGGGGGCGAACAGGGAGGGAGGGGGGAGGGGAAATGGGAGAGGAAGCAGGCACTGGGCTGGGAGCAGAGGGCGCGGCGGAAAGAAGCGCGCGGGGAAGGGTGCGAAGCGGTCTGGGGCGCAGAGAGGGGCGGAGTGGAAGGCTCCCAAACCACTGGCGTTCCCAGTCACATGCCCGCTCTGTCCTGACGTGGTGCTGACGTCACTGCCAGTGCTACAGTCGCACATGGCGGGCCGCAAGCACCAGGCCGCCGATGCTGGGCGCGCGCAGCGGGGGGCCGCGAGGGGGGCCGAGGCGCAGGCTGGGCAGGAGCAGGGGGGCCACGTGCATGACAAGCAGGGGCATGGGGGGAGGGGGCATGAGGGGGAGGGGCATGGGGGGCAGGGGCATGGTGGGGAGGGGCATGGGGGGGAAGGGCATTGGTGGCAGGGGCATGGAGAGGGGCATGGAGGGGAGGGGCATAGGGGGAAGGGGCATGGGGGGAAGGGGCATGGGGGAAAGGGGCATTGGGGGAAGGGGCATGAGCATTGGGGAGAGGGGCATGTGGGGGAGGGGCATGGGGGGAAGGGGCATGGGGGAGAGGGGCATGGGGGAAAGGGGCATTTGGGGGAGGGGCATGGGGGGGAGGGGAATGGGGGGAAGGGGCATGGGGGGGAGGGGCATTGGGGGGAGGGGCATGGGGGGAAGGGGTTCGTGGAGAAGGGACATGCTGACAGGCATAGGGGTGAGGGGGGCAGTGGCGCAGTGAATGGGGAAGATGGAGGGGGGGGTGTGGGTGGCATGGGGGGAGTGCAAGGGGAAACGGGGTTGGAGCACGGGGAACATGGCGGGTATGGGGGACAGGGGGGGCATGGGGGGCATGGCGGGTATGGGGTGCATGGGGTGCATGTGACGCGATGGGAGTGGGGAAGGGAGAAACCGCAAGTGGAAGAGTGGCGTGATGGGGGTGTGAAGAAAGAACAGACGGTTGAGATCATCGACCTGGAGGAGGAGGAGAAGGTGGAGAAGGAGGAGGAGGAAGTGGAGATTTTGGAGTTGGACGAGAGTGACAAGGACGAGGTGAAAGAGGAGGGGAGTGATGAAGTCCCGCAGCAGGGCAAGAGAGCGAGGGCCATGGGGTGGGCGAGTGTGGGCCCACCCTTTGTGGGGGGGTGGTGTGCGGTGTGTGGGGTGACGTGTCTGAACGAGAGCAACTACAAGTTCCACCTCAAAGGCAAACGCCACCGCTCCGCCCGCGCTGTCTCTCACACAGCCGCTGCTGCTGCTCCCGCTGCGCCTGTACCATGATGCTTGCAGCACGTGCAGGTGTTGTGGCATGTTAGTAACTTGAAAGGATTGCAAGGGGCTGCAATCATCTAGAGTGAGGTTGCTGCTGCTGCTAGTGTTGTTGGTGTTGCTGTGTTGGCTTTCTGCTCTTGTGTTACAGTGTTTGTTGTTGGAGTTGCTGCTTTCAGCTGCCCAGCGCCCCATGATTATGCCCCACTCAGCTCATTGCACCAGCGGCAATTACCGTTCACCCAAACCAATCCAACTTGCCCATTGCGTGCCCAGCGCCCATCAATACGGTCTCTGATGAGGAGCACACATGAAATACGAAAAGCAAAGCGAGAAGAGGGTATCGATTGGCACTTGATCAATAAGGGTGCATTCCGCTGTGGACCATGTCCCAATCGATATGTCCCAATCAATTTAGCCCGAGTCGCGCTCCAATGTTCCGAGTCTGCATGTCCCAATCGATTGATGTATTGCGACTCTGCACAGACGCGCGACAATTATATGCGATCGACTGTGATTGGTCAGAGAACAATTTGACCCACTCAGCCTTGCGCAGCACATTCACCAACGCCTCCAGGAGTGTCCAATCGACCAATCACGAAGCTGTGTACGCGTTGTTGGGGATGAAGGGGTTTTTCCAATGTGGTCCAGATACATGCTGCATGAGTTGACATTTGGCACCGCGTGCGACTGCTGGGGTGTGTTGCAATTAGCTGGCGAATGTTCCGTGTTTCACGTCACCCAATGATAAATACGTTTGGCGACAACGACGGGCGGCCCGGCATTCTGACACCTGGCAGCATATGCTGTACGTACACGTCCCAATCGATTGGGACACATCGATTGGGACATGGTCCACAGCGGAATGTACCCTAATACCGTACCTTTATTCAACCCAAGCGGACCCCATGAAACCCAGCATCACGCTCTTGGTTGACACTGAGTTGAACCACCCTGTGCCACCTGTTGGGTTCTGACCGACCAGGACACTGCCATGGCAAGGCATGTGTGGTGTGCCCAGCATGGGTGTCATGACTCATGACTCATGCATGACCATGTTGCCACCATCCACAGTACCGTACCTGTGCAGCAGCACAGCTGGGGAGTGGGGCGCAGGGTGTACTACAAGCCCATGTGCAGAGGTGGGCCTGCAGGGCAGGAGTGAGAGGGCAGGCATGCATGCAGTGGTGGCAGGATCCCACAAGGCCAGCAGGGCAGGTGCGTGTGCTTCCACACCGCATGGCACTGCGGGCCTGCAGCTGTTGCGCTGGGATGGGTGGGAGGTAGTGAGGGAAGAGCATTACGAGGGCCATGGGGGATGGACCGGTTGAGAGGAGGAGGGGGATCAGTGCCCTATATATCAGACTTTTTACGCTGATTCAGCGTCCATTCAAACATTTTTTAGGTACCAGGTCTGAACTGTAAGTTTTTTTTAATGTATATTCTCTGATTTGTTAGAGTTTTTTTTAATGTAGTGGCTGAAATTTAAGACAAAATGTAGGGGTGTAGGCTGAGCCTCAGCCACGTTTCGGGGGTGCACTCTGAAACGGGTACTGCAGGGGTCCGCCAGCCTGGCGGCGTGTTTGCACTAACACCGTCAATCACGGGCGGGAAACGGAACATTTCCCGAGCGCGGCACCGTACCGCACAGTCGCGTTGGGCCAGGGATGCTGTAATCTGGCTCAATTCCAGCCAATCGCTACAGCGCAGCAGGCAGTGTTGGCAAGATTCCCTGCCAACGCATAGCTTGCACCCGGACAACACCACAACCACCCACCCCCCCTCCAACGTCCACCGTGCCAACGCATAGCTCGCAGCGCGCTGCAGCTCTCACGTGACCACATCCATCCACCCCAGTCACCCCACCTTCCCTGCACCCACGACCAGGTGCCGTGCATGCAATGTAGTGACCAGCAAGGAGATGAGCGATCCAAATACGAGGACCCCTCATCTTCCTCATCGTCGCCCTTCGTGGGGGTCACTCCGTGCCCTGTTTCTCTCGCCTCATTCAATTTCTTCGCCAGATAGTATTGCTGGAACCCTTGTTTCTGACTCTCCCTCGCTCTCGCAAAACCAGTGCTCGGCAGACTCATGGCAGCCACAGGCGCTGCCTCCGAATCGCCCGACGATGATGACGAGACAGATCGACGGCCTGCGTCAGACGCAGTGACCGGCCTGGACTTTCTACGAGCATGCTTGGCGACGCATGTCCCACCGACTACTCCACCGTCGCAACCTAGCTCTAGCCGTCCTCCAGTTTCCGTTCAACCTGAACCTGTCCGCACAGCCATCACTGAACCGGTCGAAGCTGCGCCACAGTCTGTGCCCAACGAGGCGTCCGCTGAAGCACCATCCCGTCCCGCACCACCGTCGAAGCTGCGTTACCGTCAGACCACGTTTCCGTGGGCAACTCCTCCTCCATCGATCGTTGAAGCTCCAGCGAGAGTCGAATCTCCCATGCAGGGCAGCTCAAAGCCCACCGACAAGTCTGACTCCGATAAGTTTGAGTTGAAATTCGAAGAAGCACACTTTCGTTTTAAAACAAAGTGGTCTACCGATTACGACTGGCTTATTCTAACTAAAACATCTACCGGTGCCCCAAGTTTTAAGTGCAGCATTTGCCTGGAGTTTGCAGGACTTACAGGCAAGTGTGGACGGGGTGGTGAGGGCGCGACCGACGTGCAGACGCAGGCCTTCAAGAAGCATGAAGGCACGGTGAAGCATCGTTTTGCACTGAAGCGGCAGGAGGACCTCCTCCAGAAGTATGGCGATCAACATCGCATCGACCTACACCCGAAAGCGCAGGACAAGGAGATGTTGCAGATCTCGGCGCTAGTGGAGTCGCTGTACTTCATGAGCTCGTGCAACGAGCCCATGGACGCTTGGATTCGGCTTGTGCGCTATCTCGCGAAGAAGAAGGTGCTTGGCTTTCCATAGCAGGGCTACGGCACGTACTACAACACGTAAGTTTATTGCGGTTGTAACCACCGAATCATTGATTTCTTCTAACTCACAGTCGATAACTGCCTCTGGTCTTGTTTTTTTTTATACAAGTACGGCTTTGGAGAGTTAACACAGGCAATTTCAACATGGCTCCAAACAACACAGCTGGAACACCTTCTGACGAGCCCCTTCATCGGGATCACCCTGGACGAGAGCACAGACCGGCGGCGCGGCAAACACATGATCGTGTTTGCAACCTTCCTGCGCGACAAGCAAGTTGTGACTGAGTTCTTTGCTCACCTCACGGTTGAGAAAGCTGACGCTGCATCCCTATGTAGTTTGCTGCTCTCCCACATCAGGGCTGTCGGCGTGGACCTCCGCCGTATTTCGGGAGTGAGCACGGACGGTGCGATGGTGATGGTGGGAGTCCACACCGGTGTGGTGGCTCGTCTTCGGATGCTCATCCCCAACCTGGTTTCATTCCACTGCATCGCTCACAGGTGCGTTGTTGTTGTTGTTTTATTGTTTGTTTAGTCGTTTAACAGTAACATACGATGCTAATCATGCTTGTTTGTACGTCTTGCAGGGAGGCATTGGCTACCAAAGCCGCTGCAGAGTCTATACCCACTTTCAACATGGTGGACGACGTAATCCGTGCTGTCGCTGAGTACCTGGGGCGATCATCACCGTGGCATCAACGGTTCATGGACCTGCAGGAGGTATTTACCTCCACCAACCTCGAGGTGCAGGGGATCCACGAGGTGCAGTGGCTTTCAAGGGGTGTTGCGGTCGCTCGCTTCGTCGAGGTCCTCCCAGCCATCATGGTGATGCTGTCAGAGTGGAAGGACCAGACGATGTACGAGCTCGTCACGTCCTACCGGTTTCAGTTTCTGCTTCGGTTCCTCGCGGACGTTCTGGACCTCCTCAACATCCTCTCGAAGGTTTTCCAGCATCGTGAGGTAAGAAAGTTGAGTAATCTTGTGTTTTTCTTAAGCCGGAAACCGTGCTCTAACTAAAACTTCATTATGATGTGGCAGCTCGACTACCCATTGGTGCACACACAGATTGTGCGCACAACATCTCTCCTGGAGAGTCGGTACATCGACTACGGAGATGACTTCGGCGGCGGGCATAACGAGCGGCTTCATCGATTCATCGAGAAGCATGGGCCGCAGGGGACACCAGAGATGGTGGTGGAAGGCGCGTCGTCGGATGGGAGTCTCAACCGCTTCAAGATCACCCTTCACGAGCGCCGAGTGGCGAACTATCTCGGGGCGGGCCATCACGATGCGTGTGTGGCGCTCTGCACTGACTTTGCCGAGGGCCTCGTCGAGGAGCTTCAGTCTAAGCTCGGAGACCTCGACTCTCTGTCTGGCGTGCGGCTATTCATACCTGACGAGTGGCCTCCGAATTGGGAGAGGAGTGCACGGCAGGCACAGTGCCTTGAGTGGCTGTTGTCGCTAGTCACTCTGTTCCGCGCCGACGACTGCGAAGAGATTTTGCCAGGTCAGTTAGTGAAGTGATGCTCGTTCAACTGTTGGCTAAACCGCTCCGTACTGATCCCTCGCCGTGTCCTTTGTTGCAGGCATTAACAAGAAGCGTGCCGTGAAGGAGCCGCGGACTCTGTGCCTAGTCCTGGCCAGAGCCCCTAAGAGCGAGCGCAAGTTCAACACGGGATTGACTGCAATCCTCAAGACACATGACTGGGAGCAAGCCTACCCCAACCTCGTCAGACTCTGGGTGGCGGTTGCAGTGCTGCCTCTCAGCACCGTCGAGTGCGAGAGAGGATTCTCTCGCCAGAATCTCATCAAGACGTGGCAGAGGGGTAGTTTAAAAGACTGTAGGCTCAGTGATTTGCTGTGTATGTCTATGCTAGACTATGAACTGGACGTGCCGGGGGTTGTAGAGATCTGGCGCAGCTATAAGGAACGGCGGCCAGTGACGGCACCTGCTGCAAGACACAGGGAGCCCCAGAGAGCTGGGAAGGAGGCTGCAGAGGAGCCAGTAGTTCAGCCGGCAGCTGGAGTAGTGTCACATGTGATAGAATCTGATTCAGATAGCTGAAGTGT